TCTAGCCTGGGCAACAAAGTGAGACTCTGTCTCAAAAAAAAAAAAAAAAGAAAAGAAAAGAAAAGAAAATAAATGGAATAGTGTGCCAGCCAGGGATATTAGTGGCAAGCTGACTTCTGGCTGACTTAAGACAAGAGAAGGGGGGAGAGGAAAGGGAGGAACAGGAAGAGAAAGAAGAAGAGGAGCAGGAGGAGGGAGAGGAGAAAAAAAGACTCATGAGAGAGTATTAGGTAGTTCACACAAACATTAGGAAGCCCGGAGAACCAGGCTGAAGTGGGCAAACACAAAGGGAGACTTTGAAGCCAAAATCATTGGCAAAATCACATCTCTGATCAGTCTGGAAAGGGGCATCCTAGCCATTTCTGCCATTGTAGGTGGCCTGGACACTGGCCTTTGCAGTGGCTCTGAAGCCATTGCTGCCAATCAGGAAATGTCCCTGACACAAAGCAATGTCCCTGTTTTTTATGAGACTAGCTCCAAATTCAAAATCCCTTGAGGAAATGGCCAATCTTAATATGCGTTCATGCTGTAGCTGATGGGGTTGCTCAGACAAAAATATATTCAGCTTCTAAAGTGATAAACAAGTCTGCTCCCCCAAAAACCAGAATGTAGGAAGTTCCCTGGATGCTGGAAGGAGGCATCAGGTGTTGGGCAGCCAAAATAATGACAAATGTCCACTATGAATTATTTAAGGGGCTATTTGTCCTCAACATCAGGAAAGCCTAATGTGTATATGTATGTATGTATATCTATTTAGGGGCCATATCTAAGTAGCAGTTTGCTTTTCTCCCCAGTGTCTCTTTCCCTTAGGCAATGCTAGATCCATTTATTTTTATCTCTCTGTCCCCAGATTTTTTGTGTGTCATCCATTTTTGCTTTACAGGTGATGTGGAGTCTATAATTAAGCCAAAATATCTCCCCCATTGTGTGCTGATTCAGTTAGTCTCAGCCTCAGAATTGTTGCTGTTAAGCAAAGGACTCAACCAAAGACCACGAGGATCACACAGCATAGGTTCCTCACGGGCACAGAGTGCCTCACAGGACCAGAATGGCAGATGCCATACAGAGAGGTGTGCTTTTGTCTCAAGCAGCGGGGACGCATCATGGATTGTGTTCCAAGAGCTAGGCCCTGCCCCACTGTCATTATGCATTTTTATAGGCAAGTAAGGCAAGAGAGAGGCTTTGCAACTTAGGTGGATGAGGAAATGTTCTGAACCTGGGCACTGCCAGCTACCCTAGGGAGTTGCACATTCTCTCTGATTACCTGCAATCCTTGAGGGACATTGAGAGCATATGCAGTCCCTCTCACTGCCTGCCTATTTTCAGGTAGCAGATAATCCTTTCTCCACAGCTGCATATAAGCAGCATTACCTAGTTGGGCTCGGCATCTTTGCATGGCCACAAAGCTGATTTTGTCAATAGACCTACAGACAGTCAGGCCCAGAGGCCAGATTCATGCTAACAAAATCACACTGATATTGAAAAAAGATGCTAATTTATTGCTTTGCAATGAGAAATACATCTAGCAGGCATGCCAGAATATAATCCAGTTGGCTGGTTCCCACCCCATCTAGGAAAAAATTATCTAGTTTATAAAAGAAAGGTTACCTGAAAAGTAGGAAACCACTGCAAGGGAAGTTGTTTTTCTTTACCACCTTATCCCTAGGGACTTGCATAATGTCAGAAAGATAGTAGGCATTCAATAAATGTTTGTTGAATGAATAAATGCTATGCAAGTTATTCACATGGTGTTAACTGTTACTACCATTGAAATGAGGTAGACACCCACTGATCAGATACAGTTGCACAATGGAAAAAAGTATCAGCCTTGGAGTTACATGAATAAGAGGCTGAATCCCCAGTCTGCTACTTACCTTATACTGAGTTTCCATTTCTTCATGAATAAAATAAGTATAATCTACAGAATTAGGTTTGGCTGAATATAATAAGAAAGTCAGAAACTGTGCCTTTGAATATTTTAGATGTTTATTTCTCTTTCATGTAGGAGAAGTGTGGAGGTAGGCAGCCCAGGGATGATGTGGTGGCTTTGTGGATGTTGGGGACCCAGGCTCCAATTATTCTATTCCACCATCTCAGTGTGTGACTTTCATTTTCATTTAGCTCATGATTTAAGATGGCTGCTGAAGCTTCAGCCATCACATCTTTCTCTCTAAATAAATAAATAAATAAATAAAGCTCTAATTTGTACCATTTGCCAGTTTCCACCTTGTAATATTCCCACCATGACTGATTTCAAGCTACCAACAGTTTAACAGGCAGATTTAAAAAATCCCAAATATTTAATAATCAGCTCTTGAGAACCTCCAACTGTCCTTCTGACACACTTCCATTCCTGCCTGGTGGTAGTGGAGTCGGCATAGGAATTTTAAGATTCTACTATGGGGAAGTTGAGTTGATGTTGCATTTAGTTTAGGCTTAATGTCATCTATTTATGTGGGTTGAAGGCAGTTTCATGTATACTTAAGTTATTGATAGACCTTGGGTAGGAATAGCTTCTAGAAATATTCCTACCCCACTGTGCTGACCTGCCTGGAGTTGTGACATGAATGTGCAGGGCCAGACAGCATATCATATGAAAGTTTCCTACAGGTCCTCGCCCCCAAAGTATGTGGGTAGTTGTCTTAGTCTGTTTGGTCTGCTATAAGAAAATACCATAAATAGGGTGGCTAATAAACAGAAATATATTTTTCATAGTTCTGGAGGTTGGAAAGTCCATGATCAAGGCATCGGCAGATTTGGTGCTTTGTAAGGGTCCACTTTTTGATTTATAGATGGCATCTTCTTGCTGTGTCCTTAAATGGCAGAAGAAGCAAGGCAACCCTCTGGGGCCTCTTTTATAAGTGTACTAACCTCATTCATGAGGGCTCCCCCCTCATGACTTAATCACCTCCCAAAGGTTCTACCTCCTAATACCATCACATTGGTGAGTAGGTTTCAATAGATGAATTTTGGGAGGACACAAACATTCAGACCATAGCAGTAATGAAAGAACAAGAAGATATGAAATGTTCAGAGTTATAAGCTGGCACGTAGGAAATGATCAAATGTGTGAAATTGTTAAGGTAAGGATTTGGTTATTATTGATGTCTAGCCAAAATGGTTCTCTCCTATTAGGAATAAACTTGATTATAAAACTATAAAAGTTCCAACAATTTTTAAAAGGGAAGTGTAGGCATAAATCTGTCCTATATTTTATTTTATGGTTTTTTTTTTTTTGAGATAGAGTCTCACTCTGTTGTCCTGGGTAGAGTACTGTGGCATCAGCCTAGCTTACAGCAATCTCAAAGTCCTGGGCTCAAGCAATCCTCCTGCCTCAGCCTCCCAAGTAGCGGGGACTACAGGCACGCACCACCATGCCCGGCTAATTTTTTTTCTATATACTTTTAGTTGGCCAATTAATTTCTTTCTATTTTTAGTAGAGATGGGGTCTCGCTCTTGCTCAGGCTGGTATGGAACTCCTGACCTTGAGCTATCCACCCGCCTCAGCCTCCCAGAGTGCTAGGATTACAGGCGTGAGCCACCGCACCTGGCCCTGTCCTAGTACTTTAAACAGCCAGTATGTCTAAATGTGAATTACTACATGTTATATATCACAACATATAGATCATATCTTAACATTATAAATGAGTATGAAGCTGAAAGAAAACTTTCTCAACAATCAGAAATTAAGAAACAGCCGGGCGCGGTGGCTCACGCCTGTAATCCTAGCACTCTGGGAAGCTGAGGCGGGCGGATTGCTCGAGGTCAGGAGTTCGAAACCAGCCTGAGCAAGAGCGAGACCCCGTCTCTACTATAAATAGAAAGAAATTAATTGGCCAACTAATATATATATATAAAATTAGCCGGGCATGGTGGCACATGCCTGTAGTCCCAGCTACTCGGGAGGCTGAGGCAGAAGGATTGCTTGAGCCCAGGAGTTTGAGGTTGCTGTGAGCTAGGCTGACGCCATGGCACTCACTCTAGCCTGGGCAACAAAGCGAGACTCTGTCTCAAAAAAAAAAAAAAAAAAAAAAACAAATTAAGAAACAAACATTGATCAATCATGCTAGAGAACAGATTGAATTATCTTTATATCCTCTTTAGAGAAAATATTACAAAATTGTCACATGAAGAAGGGATCGACAAACCTGTGGGGAAAAACTATTACAAATGTGTAGTAGGCATTACTTAATAAAAATATGTTATACCTATGTGGAAAAAGATAAAATGAGATGCATACATTACATGCATTATACCACGCACAAGAATCTAATGACCTTTTTGTCTTTCTGAACATTGACATTTTGGAGAAGTCCAGGCCAGATTTTTGTAGATTGACCTACACTTTGAGTAGGTCTGATCGTTTCTTCGTAGTTAGATTCAGGTTAGACATTTTTTGCGAGAGGACTACATAGGCGATGTTGTTCCTTTTTTAAGCGCATCACACCAGGATGCATATGAGATCAGATCACCACTTATTGGTGATGCTACTTTTGGTCATTTGGTTAAGATGGTGCATATACCTTTAAGTGGTGGCATGAATATATATATGTAAAATCACACAGCGACGATGTTCACAGTCTGAGAAGCGAAGTATGAGGCAAAACTCAAAGTGCGCAGCAGGAGGCAGTCGCTTTCCCAGACTCTGGGAAAAAAAAAACGGTCCAACCACGCCCACTCTCCTGCCCGCCCGCGCCTCTTTTCATGGAAAATCAACTCTCAGAACCAGAGAGCCCCCTATTCACACGCGCCCCAATCTTTTCTCCATCAGCATGCGTGCGCTTGCGCAGAGTCTCCAGGCGGCTCCTTTGCAGGGCCCGACCGCTTCTTTCTCCTGCTCTCCTCCGGCCTCCCCCCACCTTAGCTCTAGCTTTTCCCGAAGGGGTCATCACAGGGCGCCAAACGCTGGACCGCGAGAAGGCCGGGGGCGGGGCGGGGCGCCGCGCAGCACGTCAGTGGCCTTCCGGGCGGAAGTCCGTAGCCTCCGGAGCAGCTGATTGGCTTTCGGGCTGGCGCCTGTCTCAGCCCCCGCGCCAGTTTCGTGCTGGTTGGCGCGGAATCGGTAGACTCTGGGGCCATGGCGCCGGTGCACGGCGACGACTGCGAGCTGGGAGCGAGCGGTGAGGGACGACTCCACGCGCGGGGCTCTGGGTTGGGACCGTGGCATGATTGCGGATGGTGGGGTTCGGGGAGGGAGGTCTCTGCTTTATTTTTTTACTGAGGGAGGCGCGCGCCTGGGTTGCCCCGCGGATCTGTTTGGGCGCAGACTTTGGTCGTCTCGGGTGGGGGCCCTTCTGGCGTCGGACAGGGTTTCCTTGCAGGACGGTTTGCTCTTTGCAAACTAGAACTGCCGGATTTTTTTTGTTTGGAATGCTGTCTCACCCCTGCTACCGATGGTCTCTGCAGTCGCTTGCCTTTATATTTATTTATTTATTTTTTTGGAGAGTTGCACCCACGTGCTGGGCATAACTTCATGGAGACTGGCCCCAGTGGGGCACTATCTTGGCCGAAAGTATTTTACTGCTGCCTTTCCAAGTATCCGCTTGAGGGCTAGGACAGAAAAGATGTGTGTTCTCCTTTTTAGGAACTCCCAGGAAAATTACTATGCATTATAACTGAGCAGGAAAGAAAGCTCTAAGTGCTGTTACCAGGTACAAACGCGTTTTGTCTTCTTAGGTAATGTGTTTCTACTTTATGCTTTAACAGGTTTTCTTTCACATTCTTCTCTGGAAAGTTCTTCAAGTGCTGCATAGAAAGTGTTCACAATCTAGTCATTTCTGGTAAAGTTTCTAAAAAGAAATGCATCCCTTCTGCAGCATTGCGGATGCCCTGTGTATCACTCAGTTTGTCAGTGGTAATCTTTTATTTCCAAAAATAGAATACAAAAATGCAAATGGCTTTGTCTGATTTCTGATTTTTGAACAGTGTTCAACTAAAGTGTGACTTAACTTCAGTGAACTTCTAACTTAAAATCAGATGCTTCATTTTGTTAGCTCAGGCGTCACATCTCCTGTCACTCAAATACATCACCATTAATGAGAACTTATTTCCTAATCAGCTTCCTTTGCATTCACCTAGTTGTGAATTACAGATTTCAATTTGTTCTTTCGTTTTTTAAGACAATTTATTTTGGAGAGACAGCTAGCCTGGATTACAAATGGGATGTAGGATGTGAGTATGTGAACAGTCTTTGTAGCCATCTATCAGTGATTTTCCACTAAGCCCTTTCTTCACCCTAAAAACTGTATGTCATCCTTGAACATCAAGAAAATCACTCTCTGGAGGATACTGTGCAATCTTGAGACCCCTCTTAAGTCATGGTGTTGATTAAGTAGTTGCTGGGGACTTGTGACTGGAATTTTTCCTTTAGGGCAGACAAAGATTGTTACCTGAAAGACTGTTGCAGGCTACTGTCTCTGGTTTTGGGGAGGGTGGAGATACATGGTAATTTTTAGCCAAATATCTAAACCTTTGTAACTGGATTTTTTTTTTTCATGCTTATTCTTTTTTGCTGACTTGACTACAGGAAGCATTGGAGACATATTCCAAAAAAGAAAATCTAGGAGTTTTTTTCTTGAGTATTAGAATGTGGGGCTCCTTGAAAATGGCAGTGAAAAGTTGAAAAGTCTGTAACTAGCTGCAGTTATTAGTATATATATGAAAAGAGATCAGGGAAAGTATAATGATCAAAAAAGTGGATACAATGGTTCATTCATTTGTTCACTCAGTAAATATTTATTATGTACCTACCAGGAATAGGCATTCTGCCAGGACCTGGCATTAAGATGGTGGGTAGGCAGGACATAGTTTCTGTCTTCGTGAAGTTGAATTATAACTGTATAATTATATACAGCGCTATATTGAGGCTTCCCTGAGAAAACTGCTTTACTTTATTTTTGCATTCTGAAGCTAGATTGTGATACTGCTAGGTGTGGTATGTGTGTGAGGTATGTGTATATATGTTTGACTATCCTACATCTGCATACACACAGAGACATTAAATGAGCTTCCCCTGTATTGCTAAGTGCAAAGTATGATAGGCATCCTCATATAATTCTTAACAGCTTTTTGAAGCAGACATGATTATCTCCATTTCACAGATGAGGACCCCGAGGCTCTGCATTAGAGTCCTTAATTGTAAGCTGCAGGAACCAACTGTAGCTAATTTAAAAAGAAAAAGAATTTATTATAAGTATATGTGTTTTTCACAGAAACTCCAGGAGGATTGGAAAGCTAGTCTGGGGGCTGCTTAGCTAAGAACAGTGATTGAAAGTGTGTCAGAAAACTGGGCCAGTAAGGAGATCATTGGCAATCTTGACAAAATACTTGATTGCTATAGCTTGTATGTTAGGATGTTGCTTCACTGTTGCTCCAGGTTCTCAATCCTTCTGTAGCTGCTGCTGCTTCTAGAATCTTCCTTAAGCCCCCCTCCTTTCCTTGTGACACTAGCTTCTGACTTAAAATGTGAGCAGGTGTTCCTGATTGGTAGAGCCTATGTTTATGTGCCCATGCCCTGGCTGCAAGGATGTCTGGGAAAGAGCATCTACCTTTTCAGCTTCTGTAGTGGAACATAGGCTCTGCATCCCATCAAGACTTATAAGGGGGAATTTCAGTTTCAGTTGTTAGATAGCTTACGACAAGATAGTTGTCCACTGCTTAACTGTTGCTTCTCCCTAATCTGGTTCTCCTACTCCCTCGACACTCTCATGTTGAATTTATCTTCCCCACTGACTTTCTCTCAGTTTCTTAATAAACCTTGCATTTTCATCCCTTTGTAATTTGACTCATGCCTTTTCCTCTGCTTGTGCTACTTTTTACCCTGTTCTTCGGTGGTGAAATTTTACTCTTTCTAGGCTTGTATTGGAAACCTCCCCTGTGAAGCCTTCCCTGATTTCCTAGGCAAAGTCAGTGGCTGTTTTGGTATGTTTCTTCAGTACTGTGTTCTTACCTCTTCTATGGGACCATGTTTATATTTTGCTTGTAGTCTCAGGTGCTTTTGCTGTACTTGACTGTGAGCCCCTTGAGGACAGGCAACTGTGTCTTATCTGTAAGTATATCCCAAACCCTGTGTAGTGGAACATTGTTGCCCATGGAGTAAGTCCATTTGAAGACCTAAGGATTTTGTCGGGAGTCAAGGGAATCGTGAAGGGGATACGTTGAGGCCAGCTTTTCACTTTTAGTGGTCATGTTTAATAATCTCTGAAATCTTTTCATGTAGCCCTGCTCATGATTTTTGAAATCATTTGAGTGACACCCAAGATTTTGTGGCTGTCATTATTAAGTACCTGCATTCCTTAATTTTTACTTAATGTCTTTCTGAAAATGGATTTAAAAGTCAAATGTGAAAGTGAAACAATAGAGAATATAAAGAGAGATTCCATTTCTAGAGAGCTAGAAAAAAAAACAAGATCTCTAATTATGCTTCACCTTTAAGATATAGTTTTCAACAGTTTATTGCCAGCAGTTAAAACATGTTCTTTAAATTGTATCTTCTATTTTAGTCAAAGAGCTTAATGTTGTTGTGAACATTCCAGTGGGGTTGGAGCTTTTAGGATGCTTCTTATCAGTACTCCTTTTCTGTGCTTCTTTTTATAAATTAATTAGCACCGAATACAATAAAATACTCCATTTTAGAGATGTAGATGACAGTCATGCTGAGCCTAAACTCATGGTTGACCAGCAGCACTGTAGTGCTTGATTTGGTTATTCATCAGCTGGTATATGAAAGTCTTAATTCTGTGGAGGAATTCTTTTTAGTATGTGTGTGGAGTAGTCAGTTTATAATGACCAAAAGCATGAATAATTCAAGGGTTAAATGAATGAACACTGAGATCCTCTGATAGTTCAGTAATTTTTGACAAAACACATTTTAATCTTTAACATTTTTTTACTATCATCCTATAATATTATAACCAACTGAGGCCTTTAAATTAGTGATAGAATCAAGAGTCTCCTCAGTGCTGTCTTTCTTAAATTCCTCCAGTTTCCCATCTATTCCTTCTTTGAAATTCCAGGTACTTTATCTGAACTTCTATGGATATCCTTCTATGGAAGGATATGCATTACTTCTAAATATTGTTTTAGAGCCAGTTGCTACTTACCTCCCAAATTAGATTGTAAGTTCTATAAGTACAGGGACCATGTCTTTTTGATCTTTGTGTCTCTAATAATGCCTAGTACTTTGCAAAGAGCAGATGCTCCTTAAAGTCTTAACAGAATACAAAATGAATTGTTCTTCTTTTATAACACACTGGATTACTTGTGGCTTGTCATTTCTGATGGAAAGATTATGGACAAGCTAATGGCTGACCTCCTTTCTCTAGTGACTCCATAGGGTATCAGTTGAATTGGGGACTTTCCTCTTTTTGGAGGAAAAAATAACAGTGGTTTCAGTTTTAACTGGATCTTAGAGAAAATTTCTGAAAACACACATCTGCATATTTGGCCATGAGCTTGGGGAATTATTTACATTGTTACAAGTATCCATTGGTATAATATTAAAATTGTGTGTTACTATTGGCAAGAAATATTCCTTTTGTTTTTGAAGGAAGATGACTGACAATTTTCTAACATCTGTAAATTTGGCTTTCTTTCAGCTGTGTCAGATTCGGGGAGTTTTGTAGCTTCTCGAGCCCGGCGAGAAAAAAAATCAAAGAAAGGGCGCCAAGAAGCTCTAGAAAGACTAAAAAAGGCTAAAGCTGGTGAGAAGTATAAATATGAAGTAAGTAACCATTTTTCTTTTTTTTCTCCTATGCTTCATTTAATTCATAGCTTGCAATTAGTTTTATGTCACTTTTGCCCTGATTAGAAATATTAATATATACCCAGCCTCTTATAATAATAATAATTTCTTAATGTTGAACATGCATGGGCATGAGATAGGTTTACAGATTATGGAGAGTACTCAACTCTTAAAGTTCCTATAAAGCACTTTACACATGATTTGAAAATTTCAAAATGAAAGTACATAGCTATATATTTTTCCTTATTGAGCATACCATGTCTCAGCTAAGTCCTATGGCTTTGTTGGGGTAACTTGGAGGTACTGTTACTTTACTCTTAAGGTATTGAATGGTCTAGCTAAGCACTACTTCTCCTTGGAGAAAATTGTTCTTCCTAATCTCATTTGCAAGTGGAGTGGCAGTGGGGACGTGGACCTTACATCTGCCATGTCCTGCCTGTAAGATTGAATGTGATGGTCTTTTGGCCATTTTCCTCTAGCCCACTGTTTGTGACCTGCAGGTAAAGAAACAGAATGGGCACCCTCTGCACAACATTGTATAGCTTCACCTTTAGTGTTCCCTGAGTATCTTAATTGCTTTAGGGCTAGAAAGTGATTAATCAATACTAGAAAATAATATTAACAGTAACAACAACTGATATACATTTTGAGCTAATATACTGTTCTAAGTGCTTTTAGCAGTATACTTATTTAATCCTTGCAATAACCTAATGAAATTAGATGCTGTGATTAACAATGTTTTGCAGGTGAGATATTTGAGGCACAGAAAGTTTAGTGAGGTCACAGTGGCAGATGCTATTTTGAACCCAGGCATTCTGACTTTAGAATATGCGTATTCTATGATCTATATTATATTGGGCAACTAAGCAAATAGTAGATTTTTGCCATTTGGCACCATTTGTTCAAGTTAAGTGAGACAGCCAGATCATAAAGGGTTGCTAAAAGGATTAGAGAAAAGCAGGAGTAAAGCATTTTTAAGTAGGTACTTCTATAAAGGAGTTCTGTGGGACATTTCAGATGTTGGCACAATGTGGCTAATTTCCCTTTAAACACTGTGATGTTAATTGTATGGCTCTAATAGTTCATGCTGAGCAGTAACAATGTTGTTTTTAAAGATAGAGTTAAAATGACTTTTTACTCAAAATGATTTTTTAAAATAGTTTTCTGGTCTCTTCTTGATAGTATATAGGTGAATTTATTTATTAATACATAAGAGATAAAATATATCTTCAACCAAAATAATTGTGTCAGTTCCCCTCCACCAGAAAAAAGAAAATTGGTCAGTACAGTAATATTAATTGGACTAGTTTGCATCTGGGTTGTTAAAAACTTAATTTGATAGGGCAGGTAGTTTCTGTTACCAGGTGGTCAAAGGCCAAATCATTATTCACCAGTGATCCCTGTAGCGTAGGTTAAAAAGGAGGTGAAAACTAAGTCTAATCCTATAATTATTATAAGCCTTGTAGTTGTGGCAGAAATCCAGTTAGCTCTGGCCATCAGACTCTCAAAGCTCTGTGTCCAAGTTTTTCCCTAGGTTGTTAACTCTTCAAGTGGAGTTAGTAATTTTCCCCACATCCCATTTGACAAAGGAAGAACTCTTGTGAGAAGGGGGAATTTTTTTTTTTTTTTTTTTTGAGACATAGTCTCACTTTGTTGCCTAGGCTAGAGTGAGTGCCGTGGCGTCAGCCTAGCTCACAGCAACCTCAGACTCCTGGGCTCAAGCGATCCTTCTGTCTCAGCCTCCCAAGTAGCTGGGACTACAGGCATGTGCCACCATGCCCGGCTAATTTTTTCTATATATATTAGTTGGCCAATTAGTTTCTTTCTATTTATAGTAGAGACGGGGGTCTCGCTCTTGCTCAGGCTGGTTTTGAACTCCCGACCTCGAGCAATCCGCCCGCCTCGGCCTCCCAGAGAGCTAGGATTACAGGCGTGAGCCACCGCGCCCGGCCAGAAGGGGGAATTTTTAATGAGGTATCTGAGATCTTACTAACCAGCCCACTAGATTCCCATCTGGGAAGTCAGTGGCCTATCACCATGGACAGCTGCAGCAGTAGTGTGTGCCTGTTTGTTGTTTTTAACTATGCAGGGATGATCTGCTTTATTCATACCAATAGCTCATGGTGCTCTGACCCTCTGGCAGTCAGGCAGTCAGTGTGATTGGAGAACCTGCCACTCTGGACTTGATTTTCAAATAGCTCAGCATTTAAGTCTCTGTGCAGTTTCAAGGCCTGAGGATGATGGGGGATCAGTGGTAATGCAAACAGAGATCACTCAAAAACCATTTCTAGTTTGCCTGTAGAACATAAAGTATGTTTGTTTTGCTAATTTTTGGAGGAGGATGGATGAGGGAGATTTTCTTTTTGAATTATATTTGGTTGGTTGAATAGTTATTAAAATTATCATCTGTTCACAGAGCATACGTCAGCTAGTGGAGAGGGAGGTGGCATGCCTTACAGGTTTGCTAAGTATAGGAGAAACCAGTCTAGAAATTACAAGTGAATAATCCCCAAAGCAGCTAATGAAGAATTGGCTATAATTCAGTTTGTTTTTTATGAAGTAGATGAGTAATTGATGGTGTGACAAGTATATTATGCTAATGGAATCGTTTAATATCTTATGTTAACACCCACCTAAAAGGAATACTAAGTTAATTGATGTCTATTTAAGGAAAACCCTGTAGTGGTGTTGAATGTCAGAACTCATGATTTGGTTGCAGCTACTCCTTCAGGCTGCCATTCCAATTTCAGTTTGACAATTTTTTCATCAGAATTGTTTAACACTTTCACTCCATTTGAAGCTTTTTCTCAAACTTGTATAATGGTAGGTTGAGGACTTCACAAGTGTTTATGAAGAAGTTGATGAAGAACAGTATTCAAAGCTGGTTCAGGCACGCCAAGATGATGACTGGATCGTGGATGATGGTACGTGGGGGGGAAATTGCCTGCCAGATAGTGTCTTATTAAATAATTGCTTCTCATGAATTCTCATGCAGTGGAGTTGCTGCTTTGCCTAGGTATATACATGAAAGGCACAGTTAGGATCTTACCTTTGGTTTGGGGTTTCCTTAATTATGTGAGGATGAGGAAGCAGAGCAATAGGAAGTTTATTTGGGGATATTTTGAAGAATCTAGGCATATACCTCAGAATATAGTATAAATCCTCCAGGATATAGCTATGTAGGAATTGGGAGGAGCCATGTGCCTGTGGGACCAACACACAGCTCTTGGAATTAAGGAATGCAGGGTCAAGATTCATCTTGCCCACTCTCCAACTGTATGACCTTGGACAGGTCACTTAATCTCTCTGAGCCTTAAGTTCTTCATCTGTAATGTAGAGATAAGAAAATTACCTATCTCTTAGATTTGCTGTGAGGAGTACACAAGGTTCTAGTTATGAAAAGTAACTTGAACAGTGGAAAGCACCGTGGAAAGGCTAGGCCTAATGTTCTTATACCTTTTGTAGAAAACTCACTGATTCCTGCTTGTAGGGTCTGACATTTTAGGCATGTGAATACTGACCACAGGGAGGAGATGTAGACTGTGCCTGTGACTCTTTATGTTTCTATAACACTTCTGTAATTGGACTTGGCTATATTGCCAGGTTTCCTTTGTAGCCTGGGGTGCCTTTCTGGACTTGTGGTAATCTTGACTCTTTCACTTGTTATTTTCTGGTAGAGTAAAATTGCTATAAAGCATCCTATTGTGGTAAACTTTGATGCTGTGGGCCAAATGATTTCCCCAGCTTACCTACCTGGATATAATATATATCCTTCAGTTTTGATTCCACACCTGCTATGTGAGTGCTGTACCTTGTCTGACACCTGTTTGAACAGGATTTTGTTGCACTTAAAAATAGCACAGGCCAGGAGAGCATCTGAATGGGTATAAAGGGCTTTTATTTATTTTTTTGGTCATGGCTAAAATATTATTGGCCACTTTTAGAAACTTTATCCCAATGTTAAATTTTATTACTACAGATGGTATTGGTTATGTGGAAGATGGCCGAGAGATTTTTGATGATGACCTTGAAGACGATGCCCTTGATGTCAGTGAGAAAGGTACCTATATTTTGTTTTCATGAGAGTCTCATTTTGAAATTTAAAGAATTATCTAAAATTTGAGATGACTTGGTATCTGATATAGTTTCCCTTTGAGGGAAGGGACCTACCATCATTGATTTTAGGTATAGACTATGTTCCACTATTGTGTGAAGTGTAGTTATGTAGAAAATTAAATGTAAAAAGCAAAAACACCACCAGGAAATGAAGTTTCATGTCTCTGTTATCTAAAGAGTTTGGTCTTTTATTTATTTTGAAAGTTTTAGTTCTGTGGTCATTTTAGACTTGTTAATTTTGAGGGCTGCACCAATAAATGATGTCTTTTAATTCCTACTGAAATGATGTACTTACAATTTTAGCTCTTTGATAATTCTATAGTACAATAACAAGGTTTAGAACTAATCAACTTGCTTTGCTTAATTGAAATTTAAAGTGATATGAATGAATGTGTGAGATTTTCTTAGCTACACAATTATTGGTAAATTTTTTTTGAGTAAACCTGATTTAGTTTCTAAAAAATGAGAATAGGAAATTCTCTTCAGTATCTGTTTTTGTTGTTGTTTAGTTTGTTAATTATTAGTCTTCTACCACCAAGTGCTAGATTCGGGGTCAGTTAACTACGGCCCACTCACAGCTGGTTTAGTTTTATTGAGATATAATTCACATACCATACAGTTCACCCATTTAAAGTGTAAAATTCAGTGGCTTTTAATGTAGTCACAGAGTTGTTGTGCAGCCATCACCACAGTCACTTTTAGAACATTTTTGTTACCCCAAAAGGAAATCATACCTGTTTTTGTAACAGTCTTCAAGCTAAGAATGATTTTCACATTTTTTAAAGTGTTTAAGAAAAAGAAAGAAAAATGCAAAGAAGAATATATAACAGTGCAAGAGAGGTTCATGCAGCCAAAAAGCCTAAAATCTGTACTATCTTGCCCTTTACAGATAGTCTGGACCCTAATTTATAGATTAACATTTTGTAGCATTTGTTTCCTCTCTCCCTTTTCCCAACCACATACATAGAGACTTTTTTTTCTGGTGAACTTTGTGAACTTCAGCAGTGACCTCTTAAGAATAAGGACACTTGGCTACTTAACCACAATACCATTATCATGATATCATCTAATATATTGTCTATACTAAAATTTCTCCGATTAGCCCAATAATGTCTTTTACAGATATTTTTAAATATGCAGAATACACTTTAGTTTTCATGTATCTTTAGTGTAGAACAGCAACTCTTCTTTTTGTCTTTCATGGCATTGACATTTTTAAAGAGACCAGGCTGGTGGTTTTGTTGACTGTCCCATAATCTGGGATTTGCCTGATTGCTTCTTCATGGTTAGATTAGGATTAAATATTTTGGTGATAATAAATAAATGTTTATTTGTAAATAAATGTCTTGCCAACATCTACAATATAAAGTTGTGTTCTTCCCATTGATCATATCAGGGGCATATAATGTCAGTCATGCCATTATTGTTGGTACTAAGTTTGATCTCTTGGTTAAGGTGATGTTTGTCAGATCTCTTCCTTGTGAAGCTACCTTTTCACCTTTTGTAATTAGTGCAAATATGGGTTGATAATTTGAGACCATGTATATATTCCATTCCCCCATACATTTTTCACCCAATGCTTTCAGCATCTGTTGATGATCCTTTCTTTCTTTTTTAAATTATCACTTTAAATTCATGGATTTCTAAAAGATTTACTAATATAATTTAGTTTCCATGATCCTCATTTTTCCTTTTGATGTTCAGATTATCCCAGATTTGGCCAATGGGAGCCCTTTTGAGCTGGCTCCTGTGTCCTTTTGACATGGCCTCATCAGTCTTTGAGCATTTCCTTGCTTTCTAGGCCAAAAAGATAAGATATTCCAGGTTTAGTTTGTATTCTTCCTGTCTAAGACCTGGAATCAACCATCTCTCAAGAGTCCTGGTTCCTTTTAGTGAGGAATGGTATTCAGATCTGGGGGATGGAAGGGTTCATTGCTACTGGGGTGTAATGCCTTCTAGGCCCTTTCAGTGACTAGAACAGAACAGGGAGATTATATATGTCATGAATTCATGCTGATACATTCATTTGGTTCAAATCCAACGTTATTGGTTCTTCATCTTCCCAATTCTATATTTATATCTGTCTTCACCCTTAGTGAAAACCCTTGTCTTCTAAAATATACACAAAATAATTTTAGAATTACTAAGTCAGTTGTACCTCTACCAACAACCTTTCTAAGTAAAGTTTATGATTTCTTTGCAATTTTATTTGTTCTTGGCATATGTCCTACTAAGGGTCTATAGTCAGAGTATTGTGTTCAGAAGTTAATATAAAGTAATTTTGTGTGTGTGTTATCAATTTACTATACAGGTTCATTTTTGTTGATTCAAATTTCAGGTTTTAAACATCCTTTGGTTTTGATATTATCTTTTGAATATTATAAGACATTTATATGATTTAAAAATCAAAATGATATCAAAAGATATACTCAGATAAATCTTGTTCTCATCCCTATGTTTTCTACCTCATTTCTGCTCATCTCTATAGGTAACCATTTTTATTAGTTTCTAGTTTATTCTTCTTGTGTTTCCTTTTACAAAAAATAAGCATATGTGTATTTTTCCACATAGGATGTTATTTATTTCATTCATTAGTTAAATTAGAATATGTGGAGTATCTTCCCAGTTTCTGCCAACCTACATAAAGTAGAAACTCAGTACAGTGGTACAATTTGGTAGCAGTGTGGCTAATTGTGTATTCCTAGTTTATATGAGTCCATGAAGAAGAGAATGAACCTGTGTGCTGCTTTTATATCCCTGAACTGAGGAGGCCTATGTTAGAGTTATGGCTATGTTAATTTTCTATGTCATCTTGAACTAACTAGTGCCATTACCTATCTGAATTTTAGTTTTGTCAGCTGTAAATTAGGAGGTTGAACTGGACAGTGAGCTTGTCAAAGACAAGACCCATGTTCTGGTTATCCTGATCACAGTGCCGATCACAGTAGCAGGCACAAAGAAAGTATGCAGTATTGTTGAATAAATGAGCCATCTCTGTGTTTCCATATTCATTATATTATCTCTTCTCAGTAATACATTAGTTAAGAGAATGATTCGATGTTGTGGAAGAGAGCTAGTCTTAGACATTTTTATTTCATGCTTTGCCATCATTCACCCACAAGTCCCTGCTGTTTCAGTGTCCCCCCAATAATGTCACAAAATCTTAGGAAGGAAAATGAAATTCTGCAGACCACTTTAAAGACTTTAATAAATTGTAGAGTTATGCCCAGAAATGAAAGGTCAGTTCTTTATGATGTGGATCTAATCGCTGGCATGTTGTTTTCAAACAGTGATAGAGAAAAATACCAGCCAAGTCCCAATGAAGAAAACTCAGTGGGAAAGCACAATAAAATAAAACAGAAGCACGAAATTGTGGAAGAATTCCACCTCAAATTTTTTTTTTTTTTTTTTGAGACAGAGTCTCGCTTTGTTGCCCAGGCTAGAGTGAGTGCCGTGGCGTCAGCCTAGCTCACAGCAACCTCAAACTCCTGGGCTCGAGTGATCCTTCTGCCTCAGCCTCCCGGGTAGCTGGGACTACAGGCATGCGCCACCATGCCCGGCTAATTTTTTATATATATCAGTTGGCCAATTAATTTCTTTCTATTTATAGTAGAGACGGGGTCTCGCTCAGGTTGGTTTTGAACTCCTGACCTTGAGCAATCCGCCCGCCTCGGCCTCCCAAGAGCTAGGATTACAGGCGTGAGCCACAGCGCCCGGCCCACCTCAAATGTTTACTTGTATTTTTTATTTTTCTTTTTATCCTTCTGTCTAAATCCTACTAACCTACAATAGTGAGATTAAAGCCCCTACATGAAGCCATCCTTGCCATTTAAACTTCTGTTGACCTCCTCTTTTCATACTCTGTTAAGACCTGAATTTAGTACACTAACCATTTTAATTATATTCTGTTGTCAAAGTGCTCCAAAATGATCTCAGTAAAAATGTAAGTTCCTTGATGCAGTTCTCCTGTCTCACATTTTTCACAAATGTCCTGTAAACCTTTTCACAGTCTTGAGCACATGAAAAATATCTTTTGTTGTGGTAGAATACACATAATGTAAAATTTTCCATGAGTGACATTTAACACATTCACAGTGTTTTCAGCCATCAGCATTATCTCGTTCTGGAACATTTTCATCACCCTGAACGGAAACCCCATACCCATTAGCAGTCACTCTCTAGTCTCTCTTCCCCCAGCCCCTGGCAACCGTTCATTTGCTTTCCGTCTATGGATTTGCCTATTCTGGACATTTCATATTAATGCAATTGTGCAATATGTGACCTTTTGTTTCTGCCCTCTTTCACTTAGCATAATGTTTTCAAGTTTCACTCATGTAGCATGTATTAGTACTATATTCCTTTTTATGACTGAATAATATTCTGTGTGGATTTACTACATTTTGTTTATCCATTCATTAGTCCATGGACATTTGGATTGTTTCCACCTATTATGCATAGTGCTACTATGAACATTTGTGTACAAGTTTTTGTTTGAACACCTGTTTTCAATTTCTTTGTGTTATATACACAGAGTGTAATTGTGTGTGTGTATTTCTATTTCTTTTTCTTTCTTACACAAAAGATAATGTCTGTATATAGTTTGGTACTTTCCTTTTTTTCATGGAACAAGATATCCTGAAAATTGCTCCCAATTAGTACATGGAGATTTTTTTTTCTTTCTTATTTATTTCTGTATAGCTGCATAGTATTCCATTGTATGGATGTATCGTAGTTTATTCAGATGGTTTCCTTGGATGAACATTTAGATTATTTTCAGTAATTTGCTATTACAAATAGTGCCACATCCAATAACTCTGTGCATAACTCTGTGCAAAACACCACTCTGTGGTGTTTTCCTCAGGGAAAATTTTTAGAAATGGGATTGCTAGTTCAAAGTGCAAATGCACATGAAGTTTTATTAGATCTTGCCAAATTCTTCTTCATAGAAGTCCCATTTTACACTCCCATAAACAGTGTATGAATGCCTGTTTACCCACAGCCTTGCTAATAGAGTATGTTGTTAAGCTTTTGAATTTTTGTTGCTCTGATATGTGAGAAGTGGCATTTCAGCATGGTTTTCATTTGCATTTCTTTTACATATTAAGTTGAACATCTTTTCATAAAACTTAATAACTGTTTATATATGTCTGTGTTTATTGCCCACTTTCCTTTTGGGCTTTTGGGCTTTTTTTTGTTTAACGTTCTTTATGTCAGGGAAATTTTTATTAGGGAAATTCGTCCTTTATCTGTGATACATACTGGAAAATTATGTATTGGTTTTTCTTTTAATTTGTTTCTGGTATCATTGAATTTATCATTTTTTTGCACATGAATTTTTAATCATAGTTAGAAAGATTTTCACCACACCCAGGTTACAAAGGAATTTGCTTTTTTATTTTTAGTACTTGTAAAATTTCATTTTTGAAAATTTTGATCTGTGATCCATTTAGTATTTATACTGATTTACTCCTTTACAAATGGCTAGCCAACACTACTTAATAAAGCCCATCTTTTCCCTAGTGATATGAGATACCACTTTTGTTATATGCTAAATTTCCATAAGTAATTTGGTCTTATTCTAGACTTTATTTTTTTATTTCATTTGACCTATTTGTTTGCCACTACCACACTATTTTAATTATTCATTCTAGGTTTTTTTTTTTTTGAGATTGAGACTACTCTGAGATACATCAAAATGCAAGAGTAAAGTTGACAGTATTAGAAGTTTGTAGGTGATTTACACATGGTCATAAGAGAAAGCATATGGCAAAGGTTGTTGTTTAATGAGAAAATGTCTGTTCTGTATAGTGTTGATACAATATAGTGTGTGTGTTTGGTTGCTGTTCCTCATAAAATGGAAATTAGGATGCTACAGTAGCATAACTGGTAATTCCATTTCTTCATAATTGAATTTCCTGTCAGATTCAGTATAGAGCTAAAGAGATGATCTTATGAAGGCTCCTAGACTAATCCTTAATTCTAGATCAGCTTTATCTTTTTATTTCTATGGGGAAAGCAAAAAATAAAACAAAACCAAAAACCATCCCACTTTTTAAAAAAAGCTTTTTATTCACACTAACAGTAGCAATTAAACAGTCACACTTAGCTCATTCTGATATTTAACTTGTATTTCATCTGTTTTTGTAATAACATGTATCCCAAGTTTTCTTGAATTAAGCTCATTTAAAATATTTTTCCTTATGTACCTTGTATAAAATCTTGTATTTTTGTATTTTTAATTCTTAATAATTTTCTTCTCAAATTCACATATACAGGGAGCAGGTGACTAGGCTTTTAGTTTTCCAGTTTGATTTTTTTCTGGTGCATGTTTCTGAATAATTTATATTCCAATAGGAAAAGATGGTAAACCACGAAACAAAGACAAGAGGAATGTAAAGAAGCCTGTAGTGACAAAACCAAACAATATTAAGTCAATGTTCATTGCTTGTGCTGGAAAGAAAACTACAGATGTGAGTTTAATGGTTTTCTAATATTTTGTCTTTTCCTTTGTGAAGTGAATTGATATTTGATTATACAGATAATAGGTGAGATCAATATATATTTGAGTAACATTTTCCCAATTTTATTCACTAAGTTGGATATAGATTTCTAAGTGAACTTAGGTACCTCAGTGGTTAAAACTTGGGAGATAAAAAGAAAATTGAACAGAAAAGCAGAATTGAGAGTGTGTTTAATTTCAGTGATTAGCAGGAAGATCATGGAATGAGGATGAAAATAGAAGATGGTAGCTGTAGATTTAGGAATTATATATATAGGTGGTTGTTAAAATCTATGAATGGTAGTTTAGCAGTCATTGAGGAGTGAAGAAGCAAGGACTGACTGGTTAGGTTCTTCTTCTCATAGACATTTCTGGGTGAAAATTTCAAGTGCAGGCCTTTGTCATTTTATCTTTCTTTGTAATTTCTAGAAAGCTGTAGACTTGTCCAAGGATGATCTGTTAGGGGACATTCTACAGGATCTGAACACTGAGGTAAGTAAATCTCCAGGAGTTATAAAATATACAGGGGACATAGGCTGAAGAAACACTTTAATAATTATACAACACAGACTATTGCTAGGATTTTTAAAAACGCAAGGACAGCACCAACAAAAAACCGTTAAAAAAACAAAACAAAAACAAAAGCCCTTCAAATTGGTTTTTTCTCACCATTTTAGGTGAGTAATTTCCAGTTGTTACAGCTATGTGATTATGTAGATAGGACTGTGTGGGTGTGTGTTTGAAGTAGTAAGAATACACCCAGGAGTCAGTTCTGTGAATGTTCACTGCTTGTGTTCAGTTGCTGTAGTGTATGTTCCCTAAATAGACTGAAGCCTGTCAGTCTGCACAATCAAGCGTGAGATCCTCATCTTGAATTCTGAGTGGGAATGAAGGAAGAGATAGTGAGCGATCCCTGATAGAACTCAAACAGGATTAGCTGCACTGTGAATCTGAAATTTGGCCATTCCCATAAAGCCTAAGCTCTCATTTAGTAGTATACTTCTTTCTAAGTGACGTTGATTAAAGTGACTGACATCAACACCATGTAGTTCTGTCTTGACATTTTAAAATGTGATATTCTCAAAGGGTTAGTGAAAGAGTATGTTAAATTTTAAAAAGAAAAAACTGGCGAAGGGTATTTAATATCTATTCTGGTTTTCTAGTGATTTCTGTAGTATTGTTGCTATAGTAACCACAGTGCAAGAACATAGATTGTGGGTGGGGTGGGGGGCAGAGAAGGAAAAAAATGCTTTACTTATTGGGCTTCAGTGAGTGAAGAAATGTACTTTTTCTATCTGGTGAACCAAGCATGGCAGTGAATGTTTTACCCTTTTTTCAGACACCTCAAATAACTCCACCACCTGTAATGATACTGAAGAAGAAAAGGTCTATTGGAGCTTCACTGAATCCTTTCTCTGTGCATACCCCCAAGGTAAAATGTGTAGAAATATCTTCAATATTGACTTATAATATTGCTTTAAACTTCCTTTGTTGCTTTTCTGTGTGAGAGAAATGCCTTTGAATTTGTTTGCTATTTTTGTTTTAAATTAGGACTCTCATTCAATATATAGTTTCATGTATTTCAAAAATAGCATGTGCCTGCTTTTTTCATAGTAAATTTTATAGTAACTAGTATGCATTTATTATAGGTATTACAACTGTGCTAAATGCAATAATTTTCTTCCTGGAAACAACTATTTTTTTGTAAATCTAGGTAACAGTAAAATAATTGAAGCTATTATGTTAATAATACATAAGATCTTTTTGTAAATGGGAACTGTCATTATCTCTGGTCAGGGCAGGACAGTTGCATAGTTTTAGTATGCAGGTCTAACTGACTAAATATTTAAAAATGTTTACAGGTATTTCCTTCAGGAAAAACTGCTTCCTCTATCTCCAGAAAGGAATCCCCATTAACTCCTGTTGCTCTTAAATGTGCTGAATTTTCTGGTAAGTCTGATGTCAGGCAGAAGTGTAAGGGTGTTGAGCAGTTGCTGCCAGAAATGGAGGCCTTGTGATGGAGGATGTGGAGGTGATTCCAAAGTTTTTTGCTGGCAAGTTTAAGTATGAAAGATTTGAATTCTTAGCAGTAAAAGTTAAAAAACATCCAATTTGGAGATTGAAGAGAAATGCAAACATAGTTTAGAAAAGGGGTAGGCTGCTGGTTCAGTGTTGGGTAAGCCTTTATGCCCCATGCCACCAGCACTTGACAGGAATGTGCAATGATGCCTACAGGAGAGCAGGTGCAGGCGGAGCAGGTGGAGGACGAGCAGGCATCAGGCTCAATGGAGTTTGAAGATGGTGACTTTGATGAGCCAATGGAAGCAGAGGAGGTGGACGTAGAGCCAGTTGCTGCCAAGACTTTGGACCAAGAGAGTGAGCCAGCAGAGGGGGTGAAACACAAGGCAGATCCTGGGAAAGGAACCACATCCTACCTGTAAGAGCATTTTATGACTTTTCTGGCAAATAGATCTATAATTATCCTGTTGGATTTTGAAAGGTTTTTGAAAATGTGATTTCTGCAGAGGAAATTTTCTCCCAGATGTCTCTTGTTGGGACATCGATCAGGAAGATGACAGCAGTTTCTCAGCTCAGGAAGTTCAAGTGGATTCCAGTCACCTCCCATTGGTAAAAGGGGCAGATGAGGAACAAGTATTCCAGTTTTATTGGTTGGATGCTTATGAAGATCAGTACAACCAACCAGGTAATCATACGTAAGGTAACTATGTGCCTTTAGTACGGAGTGGCGGTTTTCCATTAAATACTTCAGTGATTATAATTGGCTCAGGCCAAGCTCTGCCCTCACGTGCATTGTAAGAGAGCAGTACTCATTCATTGCAAAGTTCATGAGCCACACTGATGGAGAGGAACTGTGGTGTGAATAATCCTTTAAAGTGCTTATTCTAAAAGTTATTTATATGTGGTTTTAGAATGTGTGTGTAGTTCACTTTTGATGTATCTGAAGTTATAGGAATGTACTTTAAATGGAATCAGTCATTAATTTGTGTATTTACTCAGCAAATTTGAACACCTGTTGTGTGCGCCAAGCACTGAGATGGGGTGAATAAGCTGGAAAAATTCCCTACATTGTGATGGAGCTTACATTTTAGTGGGGTGGGAATGGGTGGGGGAAAATTAGCAGTAAGTCAGATGATAAGTGATATAAAGGAAATGAATTGGATGATGGCCAGGGAAGGGCTTTTCTGAGAAGATGACCAATGGGCTGAGGTTTGAGGCACATGCAGAGCTAAGGAAAGGACATTTCAGCTTAAGGAAACAGTAAGTGCAAAGGCCTGGAGAGAGGAAGGAGGCGGCCCATGTGGTTATAGCATAATAATCAAGTGACAAGATTGGTATAAAATGAAGTTGGAGATAAAGGCAAAGGCCATTTAATGAAGAACCTTGAAAGCCATATTAAGGAGTTTGAATTTTAGTCTAAGAGCAATGGGGACGGTTTTAAATGCAGGGGATGCTGGTCACATAATTGGGTTCACACTTGAACAGGAACACTCTGGTTTGTGTGGAGAGTAGGTGCTGCATGTGTGTTTGTGTACACACGTGTGGAAGGGTGGCCTGGAGTGGAGTCATGGGGAAGTGTGGAAGCCCTAGAGATCATTTAGTCCAAGGCAGGGCTGCTAGTTCCTTGGACCCTGATGGTTGGGGAAAAGGAGAAAAGTGAAGGCATTTGATATGTATTTTGATACAAACTTATCAGTCGATTGGATGAGTGAGGTGACAAAGGAGGAATCAAGGATGATTCCTCATGAGCTAATACTATGAATTCTTGACTTGCAAAAAGCCAGGAGGCTATTCAGTTTTCTTTTGTGCCACTTTGAGCTCTTCAGTGTGGGATGGGGCGTGACAAGGTCTGTCAGATTAATGTAAGATACAGTATATACATTTAAACAGAGTTGTTTTTATTTAGATCCATTTTTGGGTCTGTGGTAGATATAAACTGCATTTTTCAAAGTGGTTTCTTGGAGGCTGCCTCCATTGAAAATAGAGGGAGTACCTAGATGTCCGTAAAGTCAAGTGTATGAATAAGAAGATAAGTGTTAACTATCAGATGTGAAAGCCAGATTTACCTTAAAGATAATCACACATTGACTTTAACTAGAAAAATGTCAGTGGTCTGTGGGGAGGGTCAGAAGCATTAATATGCTTTAGTTATCAAATGTGTATAAATTCTTGCAGAGCCACTTGAGTAGCACACTGCTATGTGTTAGTTTCTTAGGAAAACATATAATCTTAGAAATGCTATCTTAATCTACTTTAGTTAGGGCAATATGATTTGGTTAGACCCTCTCAGCTCTTTGATTACTTTGTTCCTCTCTGGCGGAAAGTAGGCTGGTAAGTATGATTACATGAGGCTGAGCAAATGATTTCCCATCTATTGCTCAAACCCAGGGCTACCCCCATTATATAACCTCAGGGATACCATCTTCATGTGATCTCCCTGGAGCACTACAGTGTGACTGGTGCTCCCTGGAGCTGTGCAACATGGTGGGCCTGACCATCCCAGTACTACTACCTGTGATTTGCTATTTCTGCTCAATGCTGTATTTCATTCCCTGACTTGGTTAATGGTCCCATCAAAGCTGGAAACCTGGGAGCTGTCCTTCTTTTCTTCACTTTCCTCACCAGGTCTTACTAGTTTTCTCCTCCCAAAATAGAAAACCTACCTTCTCTTTCTCCTCACAACTATCATCCAGTCCCTTCTTGCCTGCTGAAACAATTGTACCAGCCTCTGATTGGTGTCTAAGCTGTCATCCTCCACATTGCTGCCAGAGTAATTGATCAAAAGAATAACTCTATGTCATTTCCTCATTTAAAAAAAAATCTTCAGTGGCTACTGCATACAACATAAAGTCCAAACTCCTCAGTAAGGCTTCTGATGCCTGTCGTCTATGAATTTTGAGCTCTAGAAATAGTTTTCTGTATATATATCTTAGTGCTCTTTATACCTGTGTCCCTTTACTTATTGTGTTTTGTCTTACTGGAATGCCTTCATCTGGCTTATTCTTCAAAAACCAGCCCAGATGTCATCTCCTGGGAGTTTTCTTAAACCTCCAGCTGAGCCTAAGAGTCCTTTCCCTGTGACCCCATCATATCCATTCCCATTGTAGCATTTGTCATATTATTTTGAAATGATCTGGGTCTGTGTTTTTCCTTCTCCCAAAGTCTGAAAGCTCCTGGAGGGCTAGGATCTTTCATGTCCAGCATCTTGCACAATACCAGACACATAGTAGGTGTCTAATGAATGGTTGTTGAAATAAACTGCACAGTGATTGACAGTCTTGTAAATGCAAATGAAAGGTTTCAGAGAATCAGTGTTGCATTTGCTGCTATAATTAAGTTTGCCTTTGAAGCCGTGTAGTAGTGTGGGATATAAGAGTGGGTAACACAAAAATGGGTGATGCCCAAAGTAAGTACACCAGTAAAGCATCAGATTGCCAGTGTCAATTGCCAAGGATTAGAACCTTAAGAAATAACTGTCTTTCTTTTGTGAAAATGAATTGATTATTTCTGCCCTTTGTTTATTGGTTGATACTCTTATTAGTAAACAGAGCATCATTTTGCAGCACAAGCATCTAGAGCTGCACTGTCTACTATGGTAGCCACTGGCCACCTGTAGCTCTTTAAATTAGTTAAAATGAAATAAAATTTAAAATTCAGCTTCTCAGTCACTAGCTACATTTTAAGCACTCAATAGCCACATGTGGCTAGTAGCTACCATGTGGGATGGCTCAGATACAGAACAATTCCGTTATCACAGAAATTTCTATTGGTTAGTGTTGGTCTGTAGTAACAGGTGTTGGATGTTGAGATTGAAGCACAGTTATATTTGCAAAACAACTGATATATGATATATGGTGGTGTTGAATTCCTGGTACTGACCATAGTCATGGATAGGCTTTTTCAACTAGTACTGAGAAATATTTTGCAATTGAAAGAGGTACTAATCTGTTATTGATCTGTCATCCAAATGCTAAGGCAAAATGAAATTTCTAGTCCTGTAGAAGGCCTCAGAGATCATCTAATCTAGTTACTCACTTAGGAGGAAACTGAGGCTCCAAAAGATAAAGTAGTCAGCTCTTTAGGGTGAAAATCTGGGCTTCTCACCCTCAGTCCACTCTGCTTTTCTGTGGTACTTCTCAAGTTGTGTTCTCTGCCGTGGCACATCTTTCTCTGTTGTTGATGCCAAAGAGTTAAATAAGATGGCTTTTTTAAAAAGTTCTTTAATTTCAGAGGGTTGAACAGTTTCATCATGATAGCAGGTAATGATCACTGAGCTTTGGTGAAATCAATGCTGCTAATAAAAATGAAGTACTCCCAAAGACCCTGTTATTGTTTCTCACTTTCTTACAGATTCTAAGTAAGTCAGTTGTTGCTGAATGCTCCATAATTATGAAAAGAATCTTACTCTTTGCACATGGGAAGATATCCTGTCTTCATTATGACTTTTTCAAGGTTGAATAATCCTGACTGCACCTGGTTTCAGCTAGTAACTTTGGGGGGAATGTAATCTTTGTTTATCATGATCTTTTTGTGGCAAATGAGGCATAAACAGTGTCAAATGTGTTGCATGAAATGTGATATTAGTTTGACTGTAAAATGAGCTATTTGAATCTTTGAATCCAATATTAGGGTCTTTATTTTTCTTTGCATGGAATTTTGTTTTTCCATCTTTAACTGTTGTGAGATGACTTTTAATTTTCTGAGCTACTGTGATTTTTTTCTTTTTTAATCTCGCCATAGTCTTCCCCTCCCTCTCCCCTATCTTCCCTGCTTCCTCCCCCCAGCTGAAAATCACACAACTCTTGTAGGAATTTTAATCATCTGCAGAAATGAGAATTCTTAGATGGTCTTATTTCTACCAGGACATGTGACAAAAGGAAGCACTGATGAGCAATCTTGTGAAACAGGGGTAATTGGCCTTGTGAACAGTAGCCTTTGCATGTGCCGGAATTTTCATAGTATCTCAGATAAGTGGCTGTGTTGAGTGGCTGTGTTGATTACTACTATCTAATTATTCATGGAGCCCAGGATTTTGCACAATGACTATATCTTGTGTTGACTATTGAATCTTTGAAGTCCTTTCTTCATGGCCAATTTTTATGAACAATGAGTTGTCCAGAAAGGCATTTTTACTTTATGGTATATATTACTTAGGAATCTAAAAAGGAGTTAAACTGAAATAGAAAAAAACATTATAAACAAACACTGCCTAACCAGATGTTTTAAGTAGTTGTGAGGTAGAAAGGGTGAAATAGGAGATAATAGTAGAACCTTATTATAAAATCTTGATTATTATATGGAATAAGAGATATGAGATAAATTGTTTTTCTTAAGCACAGTTTTACGTATAGAAAAATGCTAATGTACTATTGTTATCCTGACACATGCATATTGTTTTTTAATCGATAAATACAGTGCTAAAACCAAAATTTAGAATTCTCAGATTTATAAGTTCTCACAAGAGAAATATGAAATTTGTTGGAAAATACTTTGCTTGTTTTGTTTCTCTCAATCTGGGAAATCTTGGTTAAAGGGTAAATGTTTACACCAAGTTAGAATCATTCTGTCCTGTCCTCTCAGTGGTTACAGATTGTACCATCATGATAGTGTAATATGGTATACATATTGAATAAAGAACTGCTCTTGGGGAGTGGGCAGTGAATATAAATTTGCTGTCAAAATGAGTTATGAGATATAAACGTGTGGACACATTCAGTGAGTCTTTATGTTTCCCCTTTTAATTGATATAATTGAAATGTTTCTTTTCTTCTGCTTTTCACTTATTCTTTTAGGTGTGGTATTTCTCTTTGGCAAAGTTTGGATTGAATCAGCCAAAACCCACGTGAGCTGTTGTGTCATGGTGAAAAACATCGAGCGAACACTCTACTTCCTTCCTCGTGAAATGGTAGACGTTAACGATTAGCTTTTAGTGTTTAGTAATTGTATATGCCACACATTCTATCTTCCACCATCAACCCTATCTTTCAACAGGGCTATGCATTCTCCACAACCCTGATGCTTCTTCGTTGTTGCCTGTCTAGTGAATGCTGATTATCAGCAACTCCATTAGAGGTTGGGAAATGTAGACAAATGAAGTAGAACTCAAAGTTTCAACTTGTTAGAAAGAGTTTAAAAGTATCTGAGTTTTGGTATATAATGCATTATTTCCCCTACCCCTTATTTCCATAATAATTGGAGTTGGGACTATAAGGTTCTACAACATGACATGGCATTTGGCCTCATTTTCATGCTTTTATTGCGTAGGCAGCAGTAACATTCCCTCCATGGCCATTTAGCAAGGTCAGTTCTATTTGCTCTTCCTTTTTTATTGTGACTTAACATCCCCACTCCCCTCCCACACCCTCCCAATCTCAGTTGAACTGTGGAACTTCTTGATTAGGATTTATAATACTTATTCTTCCATTTTGTAGGATAGATCATCTTTATCTCTGAATTGCTTTTATGATGCAATTGGGAGGAATTGGGCATTGGATTTAGTATATTTTTTGGGTCTCTTTGTATCTTTGAACTTACCTGTAAGACTGCTATTAGATGTTTAAATCGTGAGGTTGAAAATTGATGTAGACTTGGGTTTCTGGTGATTGAGAAGATCTTATTTATATACAGATACTATTTTTTCTCTCCATTCCCCTTTCTGTGGGAAAACAGAAAATTGATCTAAATACAGGGAAAGAAATGGGAACTGCAGTTGCAATAAAGGATGTTTATGAGGAATTTGATGAGAAAATAGCAACAAAATATAAAATTATGAAGTTCAAGTCCAAGGTTTGTATTTGGTGATGAATTTTTTCCAGCTCTATTCATTTGTTTGCTCATTTCCTGACTTAGCAAATAGATATTGCATATCTAGTTCATGCAAAATGTCTTCTGCATGGCTATAGTTCGTTGAATGGAAATTTCATAGGTATGAATCTACAAACAGTATATTAGATTTGTAAAAATATTTTGCCTTTAAACTGCTTATAAAATAATATTCATTAATTTGAGTAGAAAGGTAACTCATAGCACATTAATTGCCTCCAGTGCGTGTAGCATGTCTTGTGCTTGTTTCTTCATCTGAGAAATGGGCTCTGTTTCAAAAGTTGTCTGAAGATTTAAAATAATTAATTTCTATTAGGTCATTGGAATAGTTCTTGACACATACCCAACAGTCAGTATACATGAGCTATTAATATAATGCTAATTATTTAGTAATATGAAGTTGTTTAATATCACATAGTAGCAAATTATTTAATTCATTAACATTATAAAAAATTTAAATCATTTATTGCCCCTCTTGAATGCAAATATTTCTGGGTTCTCTAGTGTCCAAGAGAAGTCCTTTTAGCAGTTTGTCACTAGGTATTCCCAGTTGAACAGGGAAAAGGTGCCTTTTTGGCTTTATTTACCTTTGTGTTCTGTAGGGATTTTTAATGATTAAATAAATACAAGAGCATATATTGTGTTTGTAATCTTGTCAGTTTAATTTGTGAAAAGTTTTTGTCCTAATGTTTTTTTAAATATCTACTTGCCCAGATAGTGGAAAAGAACTATGCTTTTGAGATACCTGATGTTCCAGAAAAATCTGAGTACTTGGAAGTTAAATATTCAGTAAGTCAAAGAAAATTATTGGGTTTTGGTTGAGAATGATGTTTTTCTATTTTTGAACTTTCAGCTGGCTTTCAATTAGGAGTATTGGCAGGGCACCTCAAGCCCATAGTTCATTGAGGTGGACTTACAGTAGTGAATAATTGAAATGGATAAAATTAATTTAAGTACGCAGACTACAGATTACACTGCTTTCAAGTATGCATCTTTAAATAAATAAGTTGAAACAGCAGGACTGTTTGTCAAGTGGAATGAATGCCACATGATGGAGTTGGACATCATTAGTCTGTTGAAGTGTCCCTTGTGAGCAGCTGAAAGGTGAAAGAGGAGTGTCAGTAGCATTGCTATAGTGCTGCTCTTGCTCCCGAGACAAGCAAGGTCATTCTGTGGGATGTTAATTAACTGGACCTTAACCTCTTCTTACCTCTCTTCTAGTGTTTTGATCTCACGATGTTGGAAAAGGGAAACTTTTAAGAAATATTTCTGGCAATGGTGATGAAAAGTGCCATGGAAGCATTTTCAATGAGTTCCACTCTATTGCTTTCATTCTTCTAATGGAGTGGTACTTACTTGGCTATTCTTTATCAGTAAGGCATATTCAACTCTGGACAGAAATTCTCTTTTGGGGGAGCTTCTTGGCCTATTTTTCTTCTAATGGGTGTCATCAAGATGCATTATTTTGTCATTGTGAATTGGTTTTGTTTCCTACTGTGAATTGTTTTGGATTTCATTTGTGGCAAATTACATTTCATATATATCAAAGGGGTTTCTTCTGGTACTTCACAGACAAGCTTTTGTTTATTTCAAATATAGACTTTGGAAAATGTGAAGTAATAGTTTTTAAACAAAAAAGATTTTTTTTTTTTGCCTTTTTCAGGCTGAACTGCCACAGCTTCCTCAAGATTTGAAAGGAGAAACTTTTTCTCATGTATTTGGGACCAACACATCTAGCTTGGAATTGTTCTTGATGAACAGAAAGATCAAAGGACCTTGTTGGCTTGAAGTAAAAAATCCACGTAAGGAAAAATATATACTCTCAGACTGCTAAGTAGATTGTTGATAGATGTGGTTTTTAAAAGGGAAGTTAGGGAATTGGTCTATTTAGTTTGTCCACTTCCTTTTTTGTGTGTTAATTTCTTCAAGGTTTTCCTTGAGTGATTATAGGGAATACATTTGGAAACATTTTATCTCTGTAATTCCTAGCAGTTTAGTTTGAGGGAGGCCTTAGTTCAAGCAGCTGTTTGGGGAGCGTCCGTCATTATGCTGTTGTTGGCATATACTTCCGATCTGGCTGATGTGGCCAGCTGACCTTTGGAGGATAAGAGAATCACTATCCAATGTGGATAGTGCATGTTTGGCCTGTTACCTAATGTTCTTCAGTATTTGCTTCTATGATACTCTGTTTTGTCTTCATGAGTCTCTTAAAAATGTTTTATGATTATTCTAAGGCAGTGTTTTGTTGTTTTTTTTTTTATTTATTTTGTGTCCTGGATTCTTTGGAGAATCTGATGAAAACTGTGAACCTTTTTCTCGGGAAAATGTACATATGTACACACACATATATGAGGATTTGCATACAGCCCAATGATGTGGTTTATCCTTAGTTAGATGTTATGTCATTCTTACTAGAAGATAGGATTGAAGAATATTGCAGTTAATCACAGATGTTTTAATTCTAGTAGTTTTTCTTTTTCAGTAAACAGCTGTTGATCTTTTGTATCTATTCTTTTTCAGAGCTCTTGAATCAGCCGATCAGTTGGTGTAAAGTTGAGGCAATGGCTTTGAAACCAGACCTAGTGAATGTAATTAAGGATGTCAGTCCTCCTCCACTTGTGGTGATGTCTTTCAGCATGAAGACAATGCAGAATGCAAAGGATCATCAAAATGTGGTAAAGAAATAGGATAGATACTATATGTATGCCTTAGATACAATACTTTCTTGAATTTATACAGCTTTCCTATGAGAGAAAGTTGTGTTTTTTTGGAGGGGAATGAATACTAATTCACTACTAAAACTCCATTTTGGAGAATGAATTGAATTTGTGTAGTGTTTGAGGTTTCTTTTTAAAGATATAAATTGTTGGACTTATTTTTGTTTATTATTTTATTTAGGAGAACTTTAAATGAACAGAGAGAGAATAATATGATGAACTCCTTATACCAGTCACTCATATTTAGCAGATATCAAGATTTTGTCACACTTGTTTATTCCCTCTCCCCTTTTTTTCCCTCTTGAAGTATTTTAAAGCTAGTCTCAGACATTGTACCATTTTACTCCCGTATACTTTTGTATGCTTCTCTCAAAACATGCATACTTTCTTATACCCTAGCATACCTAATAACATTAGTAGTGATTCCTTGATATGATCTAAAATACCCAGTCCATACTTACATGACTCCATTTCTCAAAATGTCTTTTGACACTTGGTTTGTTTGAATTAGGATTCATAACAAGATTGAGATGGCATTTAATTTTTATGCCTCTTGAATCTCTTTTAAATGAGAATAGCTCCTTCCCACCCCTTTCAGTTTTTTTCAATGACATTGAATAATTAAAGAATCACTGTGGGTCGTCTCATAGAATGTCCTATTTTCTGTATTTGTTTGCTTCGTTGTGATATCATTAGACTTCTTCCTCTATACCAGGGGTTGGCAAACAATGGTCTGTGAGGCAAGTCCAGCCCACCACCTGTTTTTGTAAATAAAGTTTCATTGGAACACAGCATGTCTATAGCTGATTTTGCACTCCAGTGGCAGAGTTGAGTTGTCATTAGCAGAGACCATATGGCCTATAAAGCCTAAAATATTTACTCTCTGGCCCTTTATGGAAAAAGTATGCCAAGCCCTGCTCTATCCTTCATATTTGTGTATGCTATAAGTTAGCTCTACAGGATCAATTAGATTCTAGTTCAACTTTTTTAAGCCAAAATACTTTATAGGTGGTACAGTGTGCTTCATATTGCATCATATCAGAAGACCCATAATGTCTTGTTAAACTATTATATATTAGTTAGATTATGATTGATAAGTGGGTTTAAGTGGTGATAACCATTATAATTTTCCATCAACTTTTCATCTACTCTAAGATTTTTTTTTAACCTTGACACTACAGCTATTTTAGGCTGGATAATTCTTTGTTGTGGGGCACTGTTCTATGCATTGTGGGATATTTTGCAGCATCCCTGGCCCTTACCCTCTAGATGCCAGTAGCATCCGTTGCCACTACTGACAGCCAAAAAATGCCTCCAGCTATTGCCAAATATCCTGGGGTGGGTGGGGATTAAAAAAAATTATCCTCAATTGAGAACAACTAATCTAATGGCTTTGTTTATTGGTCAATTTTGCCTCAATTAGTTATTTCATTAGAAGTTGTAAGATGGTGGTTTTCTTTTTTTCTTTTTTTTTGAGACTGGATCTCACTGTGTTGCCCAGGCTGGATTCAAACTCGTGGGCTTAAGCAATCCTCCTGCTTCAGCCTCTTGAAAAGCTGGGACTACAGGCACACGCCACCATTTCTGGCTTAAAATGGTGGTTTTCTAATTCTGTTCATGTGTATTAGTTAAATGTTTCTATAAAATTAACTTTTCTTCTTTAACCAGCATTATTTGGTTACGCTGTAATAGTTTATACAGGAAAGGCAGGAGAAATGCTTCTTTCTCTTTCATTGCTAGTTTTCTAAGCAGGAGGTTGGGGACCTATGTTACGTGCAGTGGTAACTATTTTTATTGTTACTTTTTAAAAAACTTCCTTTTTTATGGAATATCACTATAAACACATGGGTTTTATATATATTCAGTATGTTTCAATCTATTGCATTCATTTTTTTTGTGTGTGTGTGAGACAGGGTCTTGTTTTTTTGCCTAGGCTAGAGTGCAGTAGCATCATCATAGCTCACTGAACCTCAAACTGGTGGGTTTAAGCGATCTCCTTGCCTCAACCTCCTATGTAGCTAGGACTACAGGAGTGCATTATTACGACTGGCTAATTTTTCTATTTTTTGTAGACACTGGGGGTGGGGTGCTGTCTCCCTATGTTGCTCAGGCTGGTCTCAAACTCCAGGCCTCAGGCAGTCATCCCACCTTGGCCTCCCAAAGTGCTAGGGTTAGAGGTGTGAGTCACAGCACCTGGCCCCTTATTGTTATTTTTGATGCTTAACATTTGTCTCACTTTGGTCAGTGGAGCTTCTTTGTGTGCACACCTAAGTCCTTTTGACATTTGACATCGTTAGGGATCTTTTAAAATACCATTTTTGTATTATTTTCACTGTTTTTTTCAGGATGTGATTTGATCTTTTTTTTTTTTTTTTTGAGACAGAGTCTCACTTTGTTGCCCAGGCTAGAGTGAGTGCCGTGGCGTCAGCCTAGCTCACAGCAGCCTCAATCTCCTGGGCTCAAGCGATCCTCCTGCCTCAGCCTCCCAAGTAGCTGGGATTGCAGGCGTGCACCACCATGCCTGGCTAATTTTTTCTATATATTTTTAGCTGTCCAAATAATTTCTTTCTATTTTTAGCAGAGACAGGCTAATTTTTTTTCTATATATTTTTAGCTGTCCAAGTAATTTCTTTCTATTTTTAGTAGAGATGGGGTCTCGTTCTTGCTCAGGCTGGTCTCGAACTCCTGAGCTCAAAGGATCCACCTGCCTCGGCGTCCCAGAGTGCTAGGATTACAGGTGTGAGCCACCGCACCAGGCCTGATTTGATCTTTTAATAATAGTTAACATAGTAGATGACCATTGTTAATAGTTAAGTGTTTGGGAAAGGTTTAATTAGACTTAGTTAAAATTTTTAAAAAGTAACCATCTCCTAGTGCCCAGAGTGAAGTTTCTACATACAATTTCCTAATAAAGGAAATTGGACTCAGTGGAGAAATGCCTGATTCAGGGCAAGAAATGTCCAAGATAAGGCTGGAACATCTTGTTATACCAGAAAGCAAGTACAGTATTAAAATCTACTAAAGATATGTCAGAATGACTTAGGAAGCAACTTGGAGAGTTTTCTAGCCAAAGATGGGACATGTGAGCATAATAAGAATAATTGCAACAGATTGAAACATATCGAATCTATGAGTTTATAATGATAATGTCAACACTACCACCACCACATTGGTCACTTGTGAAGGAAGCTAAGTAACCAACTCATTATTTTTAAAACTGGTAAATAAAAGGATTGAATCAAGCATTCATTCATTCATTCCTTTATTTATTTTTGAGATAAAGTCTCGTCGCCTGGTTTGGAGTGCAGTGGCACAATCATAGCTTATTGTAACCTCAAACTCCTGGACTCAAGGAATCCTCTTGCCTCAGCCACCTGAGTAGCTAAGACTATAGGCACCCACCACCATGCCTAGCTGATTTTTAAGTTTTTTTATAGAGACAGAATCTTGCTATGTTACCTAGGCCGGTCTTAAACTCCTGGCCTCAAGTGATTCTCCTGCCTCAGCCTCCCAAAGTACAGGGATTATAGGCATGAGCCACTGTGCCCAGCCTCAAGTGCTTATTTTGACTTTTCTGAACACACACTGTACCTTAGGTAACCAAATAATTGGTGAAGGGAAGTTTCTTTTCATAGAAGGTTTCCAGCTAATAAATGAAGGAAAAGCAGAATATTGCTTTGTAATATTCTACTTTGTAATCCTCAGTGGAATAATGGATCTCTAGGCAGTGATCACCAGTGGTTGCTGATATCACTAGATAGAGATAAGCAGACATTATGTGCCTGTGCCTTCTGATAGAAGTAATCAGTAGTACCTCTAAAGTATTCTTGCCAAAATATCGAACCTGGTTTTGATCAAGCCTTTAGACTTAACTGTGAACTTGTAGGCAATACAGAGACAGATGAATATGTTAAATGTTCTTTACTATGGGGCACTCTCTAGGACAAATGACTCAGTTTCTTCAGCAAATAAATTGCAGGGAAATGACAGGTGGGGCAGGGTTGTACCTGTAGTTTAACATGTCAGTGATTTGCAAAGTATGGACCTTATTTGGTAAATATTATAAAATTGAGATTATTGGAAAACATGAACATTTAAATTCTGCCTGGGTATTTAATGATTTTAAGGAATCACTATTAATTGTGTTAGGTGAGATTATTGTGATTACATTTTAAAAACTTTTTATCTTTTAGAGTGGTGGTTCTCAACAGGATGAGAATTTGCCTCTAAGGGGACATTTGGCAATGTCTGGAGACAATTTTGGTTGTCACACTGTTGGGGGGCTTTGGGGGATTGGGAGGATAGGGGGATGGGGTTGGAAATACTGGCATCTAGTGGGTAGAGTGCTAAACATCCTATAGTGCACAGGACAGCCCCACAACAAAGAATTGGCTGAAAATGTCAACAGTGCCAAGGTTGAGAAACCCTGTTTTTAGAGATTCTAAAATATTTCTGAAAAATTTTAGATGAAATTATAGGTCTGGGTTTTGCTTCAAAATGATCTGGGGGGAGGCAGGAAGTAGGTAGGGCTATAGATGAGTTGATAATTGAAACTGGATGATGGGTATATAGGAGTCAGTTTTATTATTTTGTCTATTTTTTAATTTGCTTAAATATTTTCATAATAAAAAATTAAAGGTATTCATAGATACCTAAATGTGTATCTTTAAATATTCCTGGTGGTTTGGGTGAGAATGCAGAGTACATAATAGATGTTAGATAAGTGATTTTTATCCTCCTTTCTTTGCAGGTTATTGCTATAGCAGCTTTGGTTCATCACAATTTTGCATTAGATAAAGCACCCCCACAGCCTCCCTTTCAGTCACATTTCTGTGGTATGTATTTTTTTTAAGCTAGTTTACTAAGGCTTGATTTAAGTTTTTTAATTTTTTCTCCAGCTGTTGGATCAGTAACTTGTTTTTCAAAAATTGTTTTCAGGCCGGGCGCGGTGGCTCACGCCTGTAATCCTAGCACTCTGGGAGGCCGAGGCGGGCGGATTGCTCAAGGTCAGGAGTTCAAAACCAGCCTGAGCGAGACCCCGTCTCTACCATAAAAATAGAAAGAAATTAATTGGCCAACTAATATATATATATATATAAATCAGCTGGGCATGGTGGCGCATGCCTGTAGTCCCAGCTACTCGGGAGGCCGAGGCAGGAGGATCGCTTGAGCCCAGGAGTTGGAGGTTGCTGTGAGCTAGGCTGACGCCACGGCACTCACTCTAGCCTAGGCAAGAAAGCGAGACTCTGTCTAAAAAAAAAAAAAAAAAAATTGTTTTCAAGAGTGGTTAGTCCATATTGTTAAAGAAGCTTTTTTTTTCTTATGGAAACTCACTTTTATTGGAGTGGTTGTCTCCTATTCAGCTAGTTTATTTTGTTCTAAAAGCAGAAGTTTGGAGACAATTTGATATCGTTTTTTCTGTTCCAGTGGTTACTCTATTGGAGTTGAGTAGTTTTTTTTTTTTTCCCCTGGGTCAAAATTAGGCTTTAACTATTTTCTATTCCTGATGTCATTCTAAAAGCTCATCATAGAAGCCTGGCCAAAGTTTTCTGTGTGATGAAGCAAGACACCAAGGAATAAGTAAATGTTTACCTATTTGGGAAGAGTTATAGTAATACCAAATTGGAGTAGGGTTGTGCCATGCATAAAATTCAATGGGTGAAACAATTCCATAGAATTGTTGCATATGTGTTTTATCAGTCATTTTCCAAGGAGGATTCTGACATATTCCATGTTGAGAGGTTGGCCAGTTAAATAAGCATTTTAATATTATCTAATAAAAAGAAATAATACTATTGATCTATTATGTTTCTTGGAATCTTTCTCAGCCCAGAACCAGAGATTAACTTGTATAGCCTCTCCTGTCTGGTTTCTTAAGTATTAGGAAAGTGAGACTAGGAAATATGCAGAGAGGGGAGTCTGAGGTGTGATTGTTGTACAGTTTTACCCCTTACGTGGGTGGAACACATGGAACAAAATGATAATAGCCTGTTAAATATGTACAAGAAAGAAGTCATTAGTTCATTTCAACATGCACTTATTCACTTTATGTATGAGGAAGTATGAAGAACAGCTGTTTATGACAAGGAACCTTGGGGTGTAATAGGGGAAGGTTTGGTCATCTTTTCTGTGAGAAGGTTGAACTGAGTTCCTCCAGTGTGTGCTGCTTGAGGCTTTGGTAGTAGGGGAGGATGTCCTTTGGGGAAGGCTGTTAAAATCCTCCACTCTGACTTGAATGGATAGCAGTTGTTTCATCAAAGCACTTTTAATAATTATAGAGACTTAGGGTTCTGTACTTAGCTATTCTTTTGACGTCCAACAACATAACCAATGGAAATACTTGATGATCTTCTTAATTCTTTAGAGATTGGGGGGAATTTATTTATATTTAGAACAGTTTCCATTTGGAAACATGCAGTGTATGTGTGCCTGAAATTAGACTAAGAAGAGTGTTGGAATTTTTTTTTCCTTTTTACAGTTGTATCTAAACCAATGGACTGTATTTTTCCATATGCTTTCAAAGAAGTCATTGAGAAAAAGGTAAAGAACCCATTTATTCCTTTTAAATATGAAGCACCTATTTGTTTAGAAAGAGAAAAGGAGGATAGTATGGACTAGTAGAAATAGGCTGTTCTGTATTTTAATTTATTGCATCTATTCTTGCTAGATTGGACTATGGCATTAACCCATTAAAATGTATTAGAAATAGAAAAGTAGAAACATTTAACAATATTTAAATGTTTCACTACCTGGAAATAATGGGATTCTACACTATATTAATAGATGGATAGGCTCAAACCCTCTTTCAATGGCTTAGTTGGAAGTTTTTCAAAATGCATGGTCAGTGATTACTGTTTGGGGGGAAGGTGTTGGGCCCAGCTTGAGGGAAGCGAAATGAAGTTGGGAATACTGTAAGAGCCATGTACTGGCAATGTTCATGTGGGCTGGCTAAAATTGATCAGTGATCTCTAAACTCCCAGTATGCTCTGTGAAGAAGTTTTCATAGGTCCTTAATAAAATTGTGGGAAAAAGTAGTATAATGTAGTGAGTTTTTTACAAAGGTCAATGTATTCAATCTAAAGAATTTCTTTTTTGGAGAGTATGTTGTTTCTTTTATAAATGATGGTGTTGATAAATATGTAGGTTTGTTTTGTTTTTTAATGTTCTCACTCGACAAAATGAAAAATGTTAGCCACTTATGTTGGGGTCCACTTATGCTGTTTTAAAATGGCTTGAGAAATCCAGTTCTTGGGGGAGGGTGCTGTTATATTAGGCTATTATTTGTGAAGTGCCCTGCATTACTATTGGAGTAAAATGACCTAGAAAAATTCCATTACAGTCAAACTGACATTTTTTAACCAACCTAGTTGTGGAAAACATATAGCCATCAAATTCCATTTTAGAGATTTCTTTTTCAATAGATTTATGGGGTACAAACGGTTTTTGTTACATGGATGAATTGTATTGTGGCAAGGTCTAGGCTTTTAGTGTACCTGTCACCTGAATAGGGTACATTGTACCTAATAGGTAATTTTTCATCCCTCATTCCCTTCTTACTTTCCCCCTTTCTGAGTCTCCAATGTCCATTTTAAGAGATTTTTAATAAGAGCAGATCTTTTGAATACCTGATTTATATTCAGTAATCCAAGTAGAATTTTTATGAAGATGTGTTTTGTGTGGTGATAGATTTTATTTATACTTAAAATACTTATAATTCTTAAATAATGTTTGTTTTTAGTCCAGTTTTGTTTTTATCAGTTCTTATACCACCATTTGAGATTAGTTTATACAATCCTTGGGATTTCTTTGCTTGGTATACAAGCAAAGAATACATATATAAACAGTGAGGTCTACCAGGGATTATAAGTAATGTTTTTGGTAGGTACTCTGATTCATATGCTCTAAAATGTGTCCAAGTGTACAAGCATGTCCCTGTGGAGGGACTTTCTGCACGATGTCGCTCAGCATTTAAAATTTTGCTTTATTCACATGCTTATTACTAGAATGAGCTCCTTAGAGACTTTGTGCAATTATTACTTCGTGCAATAAAAACCTAGAATCAGGAATTTCATTGCTGCATTTAGTTTTAAAAAGATGGTTTCTTTTAACCCTAGGAAATCTTTTCCTGATTGAAGAAGAAGCCAAGGTATAGCACTTGAGTATAAAGAGTCAATAACTGGTTGTTTTTATTTAACAGAATGTGAAGATTGAGGTTGCTGCAACAGAAAGAACACTGCTAGGTTTTTTCCTTGCAAAAGTTCATAAAATTGATCCTGATATCATTGTGGTAAGTGGATGTTTGATCATTTCATGGGGAAGCTTTTCATTCCTTAATTCTTTACGATGTGACTTTATTGGTACTTTTGAGCAGCAATGAATCTTTTCATAGTAAAATGACCCTATAGACTGGTTGGAATTGCTATACTTTCTGCTAATAGAAAAGGGGGGAAAAATCCCAGGTCACTGAAAGATAGTTTTTTTTTTTTCTTTAATATGAATGAATTATCATTGAAGGTTAGGATTCTCTAGTTATTTACACTCAGAGACCAGCATATAACTAAATGTGTGTAAACTATTAGTGTCTCCAAAATTTTGGCTTAGTGGCCCAAATGTATAGAGGTCATAGGAGTTAGTTAATTCTTATGGTTTCGTGCAAATCACAAAACTAAATATTTTAATTTTATGACCTCAGTGGATCTCTATGCCATATTCCTTTGAGAACTTAGAACTAGGATTTTTTTTTTTCTCTTGGTGACCCAGTATGCTCCCAGTTAGACAGTGAGAGCTAATAATTCACTGAGTTATTTTTGCCATAGATCCTAAGAGCAACATTTTGCTTTGTATATCTTCTGGTTTTCTTTAGTTTGTAGGCTGTAGAACGCCTTCATTTGTCTTTACTGGGTTAATGGATCAATCAAATTATATTTTGATTTTGTTTTTTCAGAGGAAGGCAGGCTATAAATGCTTGCATTTTAAATGTGATACCAGTAATTTGGTTACATTGAAGCCTTGCAAAAATGTTTGCCATATCCTTCTCTACGTTCATTTTCACTCTTGGATACCTTATCTGGCAATGGTATAGCTAATGTCCTGAGAGCCTGTGGATTGTAACCAATATAATCTTTGCACCTGGTTCCCTTATGATATTTTAGGACCCATCTTTAAATGCCAAGAAGATTCTTCCACAGTACTGTACTGTGGTGCTCTGGCTTTGCACTAGGCCCTCACTCAGTCTCCAATAACAGTATCTTGGACCCCAAGGAGATGTCATGGAGCCTAGGATACCCAGACCAGGCTTAGGGTGTTAGAGCCAAGTCTGTGTATGAGAAATCCAGATGTAAGATGGAATTCTGATATCAATTTGAGTCCCTGATCCCAGGCATGATAGTTTGGAAATGATACTTTCTCAGGGCCTTTGAGTCTTTTAATAGACAAAACTGCCATAAATATATAGTGAGATATATATATATATATATATATAATTATAGTAAAATACACATAACATAAAATTAACCATCTTAACCATTTTTAAGTGTACAGTTCAGAAATATTAACTGGGTTTATAATATTGTGCAACCATCTCTATAACTCTTTTCATCTTGTAAAACTGAAACTCTGTACTCATTAACTCCCTATTCCCCCAGCCCCTGGCAATCACCATTTTTTATGTTTCCATGATTTTGACTACTCTCAGTAATAAATTTAAAAACAAGTTAACGTTTATTGATCTGAGTAATTTTTAATAAATATAGGTATGTGAATCATGTTACATGTTAGAAATTGGAAATTATTATTATAGAAATTTAAAATCTGGTTGCATTTTTGAGATATTTTGTACTCTATATAGTTTTGTTTCCTTGTTTTTAGCAAGTTTCTTATTTGAATTATTCAGTGGTATTGTATATTTATCTTGTTGCATATCGATTAAAAGTCTAAATCAGTAGTGTTTGAATTCAGTGTTAAGAAGAAACTAAATGCAGTTCCTGAATTTTCTAAGAAGTCTTTTGTAAACTGTCATACAACATAGGCAGCATCTATATTTTTAAGGAAGCAAAATGGAATTTATTTTTGAATCTTGTAGAAGTTTTTATTTCAGTGATCAGCAGAATGCAGTAAATGGAATCTACACTGATTTAACATTAGGCATGCACCTCTGCCTGAAACTGCTGTTAGTTTTTGACTGGCCTAAATCTTTCTTTTTTTTTTTTTTTTTTTTGGCCTAAATCTTTATAACTTGTTTAGGCACATCTTTAAAGTTTTTGTACCCTGATATACAAAGTAAGTTAACTTCTTCCTTGTGACAGTCTAGTAATGAGAATTATGTTCACTGGCTAGATTCCTTTATAACTAAAGGCCTCTAGACTCTCAGACTGCCCATAATACCTTGGGACCATAATTTAATATAGATATTTCAGCAAATCACAGTACAGGGGAGGCAAATAATCTACAAAGCTAAAGTGCACAGTATGATCTTTTTTCCCCAACATTGATAGTCAAACACTAGATAAGGAGGCCCACAGTTAAATGACAAATTATCCTTCTCCAGAATTGTTTGAATATAGCTTTTGCTGAGAACGTAAAAAGTATGGGATGTTAAATTTGCATTTGCCTCCGGGACTGAGGCATGAGCTGCAAATTAAAAGACATCATATGAACCTTGCATCAATTAGGATGAAATAAAGTTTATTCCAGCAATCTGCTTAGCAGCCTTGTTAATGTCAGGGCTAATGAATGCTGCTGATGAATAAATTCCTGAAGAAGAAAGGACTCCCAATCGGAGGTAAGCACATGATGTCTTCAATTAGAGACCAGAAAAAGAAAGGGCAAAGAAATTCTGTGCATATGAAGATAAATCCTCTAATTTGCATTTGTTATAACATTATTGGCTGACTTCTTTTTCCTACTAGGGTCATAATATTTATGGGTTTGAACTGGAAGTACTACTGCAGAGAATTAATGTGTGCAAAGTTCCTTACTGGTCCAAGATAGGTCGACTGAAGCGATCCAACATGCCAAAGCTTGGGGTAATAATCATCTTCAAAATCTTACTTTATTTGGCTTTTTTTATATGGGGTAGCTACAGGGAGCACACTATACTTTTAAAAGTAGGAATTGGTTGTCTCGTGATAGGAATTTCAGTATATTTTAACTTTGGCACTAAACATCTTTTCCTTTGAATTCAGCATTTTATTTGTAAAAACCTCAGTTAGAATCTAGGAATAGTGAACAAAGACAGTACATTCATGTTACCTTCACTTTATTATTCCCAAAGTGATAGCTTTTAGAGCTAGGTTGCAGGGTTCAGAAATCATTTAGTATTATCCTTCAGGAAGAAGATGGGAAGACTGAATGGAAGGGGGCTGACGTTGAATGTATAAGAAGGCAGTAGGCTAAGTGCTTTCTGTGTTAGTGACCTCACAGCAACTCCGATTTTATTTTATAGATATTCTCACAGGGGTATGTAACTTGTTCAAGATCATATAACTAGGAAGGGGAATAACTGAGATTTGAACCCAGGTCTATTTGATGCTTTTAAAGACTATGTACTTTTCATTCTTCCTGCTTGTTTCATGTATTGAGATTTTGGTGTGGAATACCTTCTTCCTAAACCTGATACTGCACAGTGTTTGAAATCTTATTTTACTTAAAGCTTATAAATAGAGTGGATGTGATGCCTCATAAGAAAAGTTAGGAATCTGTACCTGTACCTTTTATAATGATGTCCAGTTATTCTGTTGCTATAGATCACATTTGGGGTCATTGATCTTGCTTCTTTTCATATCTTTAAGGTGGTAGAGTTGTTATTAACACTTCGTCTGAATACTTGCTTAGCTAACTCTATGCCCTTCAAGATTTTCTTTATATGGCATCTTCTGAGTGAGGTTTTACCCCACCACCCTGTTTAAAATACAGTTTCCGAAATTCCTTGTCCTCCTCACCTTGCTCTAATTTTCCCTTTTTGCATATACTTACTACCTTGTAAAGCTATATAATTTTTTGTTTATGATGTTTATTTTTAATTTTATGTTGTAAATGAGGTCAAGAATCTTTTCTGTTCACTGCTATATCCTGAGTGCCTAGAACAGTGTCAGATACATAGTAAATGTTCAAAAATATTTGATTGATAAATGGAAGAACGAGAGTTTCATCATTGTAATTTTTGGGCCAGCTTCAAAATAGATTAGAATCAAATGTTCTCAATGTTTGCTCTTTCATGGGATTTGCTTTTTGTCTTCATCTTGCAGGGACGAAGTGGATTTGGTGAAAGAAATGCTACCTGTGGCCGAATGATCTGTGATGTGGAAATTTCAGCAAAGGAATTGATTCGTTGTAAAAGCTACCATTTGTCTGAACTTGTTCAACAGATTCTGAGAACTGAAAGGGTTGTAATCCCAATGGAAAATGTACGAAATATGTACAGGTATGCTCCTGGAGTCTTCAAAATTTGTCTTTCTTGAAATTAACACCAATAGCAACAACAAGCCACCAGAACTGTCCTTAGACTGGAGGGATATGAGCTGGTGGTGCTATGAGTACCACCATCTCCATTACTTTCATAATTTAAACTAGTTTACCTCTTGAATTATTCTGATTTGATCAGTTTATCTCCATTTCCTTCATCTGTCTTAATATTATCTTGATGTTTCCTAATAGTAGTTTGGAAATTGATAGGAAATTTATATTTCTACTCTTGATTAGTTTATTCAGGAGTTAGTGTAGATATTTTAGAAATATAAAAACTGAGTAATCATTAAGTTATTTAGAGATACTGCTTATTTATTTCTTCTATTCCTCTGGCCATTTCTCATTCATTTCTGCTACTTCCTCCTGAGTCCTTCCTTGGACTGTTTCTCATGTCTGACTGTGCTCCTTCTTCAGGTGATCTCATGGAGTCTTAGGAATTTAAATAGCATGTGGGTACTGATGCCTCCCACCTGTGTATTTTCAGGTTAGACCTCCCTGGTGAATTCCAGACTCACTGTATCCACTTGCCTATTCTACTCGATATCTTTTTTTTTTTTTTTTTTGAGACAGTCTCGCTTTGTTGCCCTGGCTAGAGTGAGTGCCATGGCGTCAGCCTAGCTCACAGCAACCTCAAACTCCTGGGCTCAAGCAATCCTTCTGCCTCAGCCTCCCGAGTAGCTGGGACTACAGGCATGTGCCACCATGCCCGGCTGATTTTTTTCTATATATATTACTTGGCCAATTAATTTCTTTCTATTTATAGTAGAGACGGGGTCTCGCTCTTGCTCAGGCTGGTTTTCAACTCCTGACCTCGAGCAATCCACCTGCCTCAGCCTCCCAGAGTGCTAGGATTATAGGCGTGAGCCACCGCGCCCAGCCTCTACTCGATATCTAATATGAACCTTCAGCTTGTTCAAAACTGAGCTTTTGATCTTCTACCCTTGACTCTTCCTATAGTCTTTCCTTACTAAATTAATGACAGTTGTTATTTTTCCATTGCTGCTGGAAACCTCCAAAGTCATTCTCAGCCCCAAACCACTGAGATATTCTTGATTTCTCTGACATCCCACAGTAGATCCATCAGGGAATCCTGTCAGCTCTATCTGCTAGATACATCTATATCTGACCACTTCTTTTCACCTCTGTTGGACCCACCCTGGTCCAAGCCACCATCCTCTTTCCCCTGGATTACACAGTTTACATACCTATGTCCTTGCTTTTGCCCTTGCCCCCATGTGGTCTGGACCAGAGTTATCCTGCTAAAATTAACCTAGATAAGGTACTCTGCTCAAAATCTTCTAACTCTGTTTCATTCAGAGTGAAAACCAGAGTCCTATTTTGACTTATAAGGTCCTATACAATGTGTCTCCATGCCATTAACTCTGTCCTTATCTCCTAGTGTTCTTTCCATCATTCTCTCTGATCTAGGCATATTAGTCTCCTTCCTGGTCCTGGAAGTACAGTGTCAGATTTACACTAAGCTTAGGGCCTTTGAGTGTGCTGTTCTGTCTGGTCTGTCTCTTAGATATTCATCCATAAGACTTTCTCCATCACTTCCTCTGGGACTTTATTCTCAGTGAAATCTTCCCCAGTTCCCTAACTACAATTCCAGTCTCTGCCCCGATACTTAATATCCCCTTTGCTTTTTAACTTTTTCTTGTTAACACTTAGCATTATATAACATATTATATATTTAATTTCTTTTTCCTTTTTATGCTCTGTCTCCCCCATGAGGACATATGCTCCATGAGGACAGGGATTTTTGTTTGTTTGGGTCACAGGCAATGCCTGGCACATAGTAAGCATGCAATATATATGTGTCCTGGATAGAATGAATGAAAGGATTTAGATAGTTTTCAGGTTTGTAGTTAATACATTACATGATTTTATTTTCATGGGATTTTTTTTATTTTTTGAAGAAAGGCTTTAGGATCAACGGTATGAATGAATTTCTAGTTACATACTGACCTTATTTTAAATTGTTTCCAAAGCTCTGGGGTGCCATTGCTCTGAAATTTCTTGTAATATTTTATGAAGTTCTGATTATAGTCATTGTTTCTTTTAATTACTTGATTCTGTTTCATTCTTACTTTTCTGTACAGTGAATCTTCTCATCTGTTGTACCTGTTGGAACACACCTGGAAAGATGCCAGGTTCATTTTGCAGATCATGTGTGAGCTAAATGTTCTTCCATTAGCATTGCAGATCACTAACATCGCTGGGAACATTATGGTAAATTTAACTTAGAAAGGGGAAAAAGCATTTCCTGTTGGATTCAGTGTTTGCTTGGGGTAGTTGTTATATGATAATGAGTCTAAATGCATGCTTGTAAAATGAGTAACTTGGATTCTGAAAGCTGGGCTTCTTTTGTAAAAGGAATAACTGGTTGAGAGAAGGGGAGGAATGCCAGGTGCAGTGTGTTGAAATTTGGGTGAACATAAGGATCTTCTAACATCTGGATGTGTCTGTCTGGTGGAATAGTCCATTTGGCAGTAAAGAAATAGCCAAATTGTCAATATTTTAAGTTCCCTTTGTCTTCTTTAACTATAATGCTTAAAGAAAACGTTAGACATAATTTAGTACCTTTTTTTAAAAAAAAGCAGCTTTGTTATTTTGAAAGGTTTTGAAGGAGGTGCTATGGTAAAATTTACCAACTCAGAGTCGCTTTTGTTCACTGTGGTTTTGAGCTCAAATTTATAAATGAAATTCTATTTAATAGTCCAGGACGCTGATGGGTGGACGATCGGAACGTAATGAGTTCTTGTTGCTTCACGCATTTTATGAAAACAACTATATTGTGCCTGACAAGCAGATTTTCAGAAAGTCTCAGCAAAAACTGGTGGGTCCAAAATTGTATAGTATTTTGCTTTTTGTTATCCCTCCCCCCTTTTATTACCTAGATAGCCTTTTTTTTTTGCTGTGATATCACCTGCTTCGAAAATAATTAATCCCTTGTGTGCTGTAGAAACCACATCAAGTTTATTCCCTTGTGTTTGTGTGGTCATTTTCTTCTCCACTTTTGTTTGTACAGACAAAATTATTTGTGAAATATGACATTCTTTGATGGGTGACCATACCTGGAAAATGTTTTGTCACTATAGCCCTACCCAAAGCTAAATGCCAGTTAAACTTTTTATTTCCTTAAACCTGTGAACCTTTATTTTTCTGTGCTAGTATGATTAAGGTCTCCACAATCAGGTTTCTGAGGTGGCTTCCGTCACTTTGAAACTCCATCACTAGCACTGATAGTAATTGATTCAGAATGGGAATTCAGTGTTAAAATGCAATTCAGGTTCTTGTATTTGCTTTATTTATGCACATTATCAAAATTGATATAGGGAGTTTATTAATTTAGAGGACTAAGTTCTGCTGAGGAATTGAATGTTGGCCATTAATAAACTACTTAGGAATGGATTTTCAGTATATGGATGTACTTATTTTATGTTGTCCTCATTAATAATGGGAATAATGATATTTCATGTTTTTACATCATGAATGTTAGTCAATTTAAGACAATCTCAAATTTTATATAATATGAAAAGTATTTTTAATATCCATTGATTTAAAAATATGACATTTCTATGAATTCAGAAACATTTAAAAATATAATTTGCATGTTTAACTCAGAGATCTATAATAGTATTTGTTTAGGAAACTACCATGGTTAGCATTCATTTGGATTCATGAGCATATTATAATAACTATCTTCACAGTTAGGACAACTAACGTAAAGTAAATAACGTTTATTAGAACTGAGTATTGCAATTGGAAAAGAGGGAATCATAAAACTTCTTAATTAGTTAATTAGTTTCTGGCTGGTGAAGTTATCTTTCCATTTGATATTAGGGAGATGAAGATGAAGAAATTGATGGAGATACCAATAAATACAAGAAAGGCCGTAAGAAAGCAGCTTATGCTGGAGGCTTGGTTTTGGATCCCAAAGTTGGTAAGGCTGGGCAGCAAATTGGTTTGCCCCTGGTGTTAAGGAGTTTCTTAATGTAGAACTAGGCTTGAAATAGAAGACCTGAATTATATCTTATAGGTCAGCAAATAGTTCTCATGATGACCTTATTTTATCTTTTTTGTTCATGTGAAAGTCTTGTTTGCCAGTCACCTGACATGGAATTAATGTGATTTTTTTTTTTTCTTTTTGCTGTTCCAATAAAATTTTATTTATGGACATTGAAATTTAAATTTCAGATAGTTTTCATGTATCATGAAATATTACTCTGTTTTTGACTTTTTCTAACCACTTAAAAATATAAAAACTATTAACTCATGGGTGGTACAAATACAGGCAGTAGGCTGGATTTGATCTGCACATAGTTTGCCAACCCTAATCCAGTATATAGATAGCTGTGTGTCCTGTAGGAACACCTCTGTCGTCTTTCAGTCATTCTGTGAAGGTGGGCTCTGCCCTTGCCCTGTGTGCCAGGACCAATTCACTTGGACAGCAGAATTAAAGAAAGTGCATACAGTAACCACCAAATTTAACTTTGACAGGAGAATAACTTTTCCCTGTTGTCATGAATGGCAAAGAAGATGTTTTATGGTACACAGATAGAATCTTTTTAAAAAAATCATATTAACTATTTTCAAGTGTATGGTTCAGTAGTAGTGTTAACTATATTCACATTGTTGTACAGGAATTAATGTGAATTTTATCAAGTAACTTGAACTCTGAGTAGGAGACATTTTTGACAAAAGCAATTTTATTATTAGTTGTAACAAAATAGAACAGTAGTACTTTGGTGTTAGATAGATCTGGGTTTGAATTCTATGTGATCTTGGGCTGTCTGTTTAACCTCTGTATGCCTCAGTTTCCTCTTCCATAAAATGGAGATAAGAATAACATCTGCCTTACAGGAATTTAAGGATTAAAAGTGATTATTTAGTATAGTGTCTGGCACAGACTAAGCTATCAATAGGTTTGCAGTGATTACTGTCTTAATAGTTGACATTTATTTTTATTCAGTTTCTTCTCAAGGTGAAGATAACTCTCTGTTAATGTCCTAAAGAAATACATTATAGTAGCTTTCTATTCACCTGTTATAAGTAAAACGGGTGGTATGTTCCACTACTGACATACATACATATATATATATATATATCTTGTTTGATTTCTAGCAGTTTGTGTACAGGTAAATGGACTGTCCATTTTATTCTTTGAAGGTGTGATAGTAAAAAAGTGTATGTATATAAACCACTCACTGGGGTTTTTATTTGGGTGTGGGTGGGAGAGTAGGTGGAAGGGAATGCATGCTTTGAGAATTTAACAACTTTTTTTTTGAAATGGATATGTCACCTCTCTAAAATAATTGATGTAAGAAGGTGTTCCCAGAATAATGGTGTGCTTTGAGGACTGCTAGGGAAAGGGCTAGTTGTAGCTGGTTATAAGGAGAGGCAGGATCTTCTCCTCCCTCTTCTTTTCTGATCTGGGTTTTCACTCTAATCCAAGTCATTTTATAGAGTGGTAGTTGACTCTCTTTTTTTTCTACCTCACAGCTCTAGATAGTATATATTTTTTAATGTACTTCATAATATACTGCTTCTAATATGTGTGACAATTCTGCTTTTCTTTAGTCTTTTTATGACATTATATGGCTTTTTTATTTCAGGTTTTTATGATAAGTTCATTTTGCTTCTGGACTTCAACAGTTTATATCCTTCCATCATACAGGAATTTAACATTTGTTTTACAACAGTGCAAAGAGTTGCTTCAGAGGCACAGCAAGTTACAGAGGTTTGTATTCAACCTGAGACTCTTGTGATTGAGGTTTAAAGAATTGCTTAAAGCAGGAAGATAACCAAAGGGGTTAGCATTTTAGTTTTTCTCCTCTTAAAGGATACACTAATTATGTTCTTTCTTAGAGGTCAAGAAAGGAGAAAGGTAGAAAGAGGCTCAGGTTCTGTGCGTTTTTTAAACAGCTCTATTGAGGTATAATTCATGTATCATATAATTTACCTACTTAAAGTATGCAGTTCAGCCGCTTTTGCTGTAGTCACAGAGTTTGCAACCATCACCACAATCAAATTTAGGACATTTTCATTATTCCCCAAAGAAACCTTTTAGTTGTCACCTCCCTTAATATCTCTATCCCTCCTAGCTCTAGGCAACCACTTATCATTCTGCCTGTATAGATTTGTGTATTCTGGACATTTCATATAAATGGAATCATACACTCAACCACATGCTTGGAAGCTGTTTTTCAGTCCCAATTTCATATTCTCAGAAGAGAGAATCTGTTAGGCTTGCCTAGGTCAGCACCCCTGGTTTCCAGCACCTGTGACCACAGGAGCAAACTCAGAGTACAAATCTGGCTGCTAAGGATGGGCCTTTCTGTGGCACTAGAAGATAATTTTACAGAGAAGGTATTGAGTAGACATCCTCAAAAGGTAGTGACTGCATATGATGAATATTCTTTGAGCTCTGTCTTGCTACTGTGCCAGCATCGTGATAATTATCATTACCTAGCCCCTGTCCCTCAACCCCTTTCGACCACCATTTTATTTATTTGAGCTTTCCAGTTTTGGATTCTGGATATATAATAGAATCATTTTAGAGTTGGATGAGACCTTAGAAGTTATCAAAGAAATACTATATATGTAGTCATTTATAGATTCTGTATTTTCATTTACAGTACCTCATTTGGTCTTCAAAACAGTATCACACAGGTAGTGGTGGTAGAACTTGGAGATGATTGTAAATTTCTTGACTCAAGATTCTTCTGGTTTACTTTTTAGCTGACTTCCATAGTTACTATAAATAAGTTGGAATGTGTACCAAGATCTCTTTAATAGGTTTGCTATCATCATCTACTATATTGGAAAACAGTAGGTCCCTATTACTTTTGTAAGAGTATTCATTAGGCCAGGCTGGGCGCGGTGGCTCACGCCTATAATCCTAGCACTCTGGGAGGCTGAGGTGGGCGGATTGCTTGAGGTCAGGAGTTCGAAACCAGCCTGAGCAAGAGCGAGACCCTGTCTCTACTATAAATAGAAATTAATTGGCCAACTAATATATATATGTATAAAATTATCCAGGCATGGTGGCACATGCCTGTAGGCCCAGCTACTCGGGAGGCTGAGGCAGAAGGATCGCTTGAGCCCAGGAGTTTGAGGTTGCTGTGAGCTAGGCTGATGCCATGGCACTCACTCTAGCCTGGGCAACAAAGTGAGACTCTGTCTAAAAAACAAACAAACAAAAAAAACAAACAAAAAAACAAAAAGTATTCATTTGAAGATATTGATCTTTAGAAAATCAGATAGTGTGTAAAGACTGGGTTATCAAATGGCATTGACTTGACATATTCAAAGCCAAGAGGTTTATTTTTAATTCTGAACCTTTGAAAGGGCAAATGTGCCTGGCTTTCTTTGCAGCCTGTTAATAGAATTAATGGAGACTTGAGAAAAGTGGTCTAATGCTTTCCCTGCTGTAAATTTTAATATAAGAAGACTGCTGGTTGCTTTTCTAAAATGTTGTTCTTCTACCAGTTGTACTAGTACTTTATAGGTAAAAGGTACTACATAAATGCTAAGGACTATATATGTATTAATTTTTAGAAATGTCATGGCCTATTTAAATGTGCTCCAAACTCTTAAAAGAAGTTTGCTGATTTAGTATTTAGCTTTTTATTTGTAGTCTAAAGCATTTACAATATGCTATTATTCTCCGTAGTTTTAAAATTCTATAGCATTTTGTTTGGTAGTAAGAATGATTTAAAACAGTAGTTTAGCTGCTGGTTATTTTTTTTAATTCTAGAGGTCTGTCTCAATGTTTGTATTTTAAAAACATTTTCCCCTGATGTGTTGCTTGCCAGTCTTCTTGGAGAGAGGATAGTATGTGTAAAAATTCATCCCTTTAAATGAAATCTAAATATGTGAGTAACCACAGGGGTGAGAAATTGGAAATGATAGGCCAATACAATTGGGAGAAAAGAGGGTATGTTAACTTCTTCTAAAACCCTCTCAGCTCTTTCTTATACTACCCATGCGTTGTTGACCTTTACTTATACAAGAAAGTATTCAAGATGTGTTCATGGGGTAAAACTTCCACAAAATGTTATTTTAGGAATTTATTTCATGAAAGTTTGATTTGTATGAAATTTCTGTTGTGTGTTCATCAGGATGGAGAGCAAGAACAGATCCCTGAGTTGCCAGATCCAAGCTTAGAAATGGGCATTTTGCCCAGAGAGATCCGGAAACTGGTAGAGCGGAGAAAACAAGTCAAACAGCTAATGAAACAGCAAGATTTAAATCCAGACCTTGTTCTTCAGGTATATCTTTTTACTAAGAGACATCTGAGTGACAATCTTCAGCTTTTAGAATTTGATTATTTAGGAATGGAATAAATAGGATGCTGTGGGCAAATACATGTACTTTTAAGTTTGTGGGTAGGTAACCATTCAAAGATACTAGAGTACCTCAATGGAAGGCACTTTTACCTGTAAAGGCCATATCTGAGTGAGATCCTTCTGACTCTTGGGAGCTTTAGAGTCTGTTTACTTGCTTTTTGGAGGTTACAGAGTCATGGATACAAAGGATGAATTGAGTGTGTTAAGAGTTTATTTTTTTAAGGGAATATTGAAGGTTTTGCTTTATCATTGGTGATCTAGAAATACATCCAATATAATACTTAAATATCTGCAAGTATTGTTGTTTGTCTTTTGTCCTTGTGTGGTCTGCAGTATGACATTCGACAGAAGGCTTTGAAGCTCACTGCGAACAGTATGTACGGTTGCCTGGGATTTTCCTACAGCAGATTTTACGCCAAACCACTGGCTGCCTTGGTGACATACAAAGGAAGGGAGGTAAATGGCATAATAGCATTCACGTCTCTAAATATGATAGTATTTTAAACTATACATGTTACAGTGTGGGAGAGCCAAGTTTGTTATCTAGTTATACAGCTTCAAATACAGTACCCCTTACTTAGGACAAGTTTGAGATAAATAGGCATTTAAGTAAGGATTAATTAATTTGTCAGTGTGTATGTGTTTGTTTGTTTATTTATTGAACATTTACTATGTGCCAGGCATTGTTCTAGGTACTGGGGATAGAGTATCAAGTAAGACATAAAAGGTCCCTGCTATCATGAGGCTTAACATTTTACCCAGTGTGGGATATGGGCTGGGGATAAGGAGTAGGGTGAAGGTAGTTTGGGAAAACAGACTGTAAAAAAGCGAATAAACAAATACAAGAAATAACCAAGAAAATATGATAGAAATAAATGCTCCACGGATAATTAAAACAGGGTGGTGGGCTAGAGAATGTTTAGATGGCTAATTTAGAGTGGTCAGGGAAGGCTTATTTGAGGAAATGACATGAATAAGACCTAAATGATATAAGGGAGTTAGTTTTTTTGCTGATAGATTAGCTTGGAGTGTGAAGGAAAAGTAGAAATCAGAAGGATAGCTAGTGGAGCCTTTTACTAAGATGGAGGAAACTGGGAAAGAGTTCTATCTTGGGTGTGTTGTCTTGGACATGAATAGTAGATCTCCAGGCATAATAAGTAGGAAGTTGGATATGTAAATCTAGAATTTCAGGAATATGTTAGGACTAGAGTTATTGATTAAGAGTTATTGGCTTTAGTAAGATGGGCCAGATAACAAACAGATTTTAGATACTGTCACTTAATGAACACTGTAAGCTTCATCTATTTTAATACTATATGCATGGGGTTTTCTTAATTTGTAAAAGAATAGTTATAAAAATTCAATTTAACTGCATTAAACTATTGTCTGTCCACCTGCACTCGAATGTTTATAGCAGCACAATTCATAATTGCAAGGCTGTGGAAACAGCCCAAGTGCCCATCAATCCAAGAATGGATTAATAAAATGTGGTATATGTATACCATGGAGTACTATTCAGCTCTAAGAAACAATGGTGATATAGCACATCTTATATTTTCCTGGTTAGAGCTGGAACCCATACTACTAAGTGAAGTATCCCAAGAATGGAAAAACAAGCACCAGATATATTCTCCAGAAAACTGGTATTAACTGAGTAGCACCTAAGTGGACACATAGGTACTACAGTAATAGGGTATTGGGCAGGTGGGAGGGGGGAGGGGGGGTGGGTATATACATACATAATGAGTGAGATGTGCACCATCTGGGGGATGGTCATGATGGAGACTCAGACTTTTGGGGGGAGGGGGGGAAATGGGCATTTATTGAAACCTTAAAATCTGTACCCCCATAATATGCCAAAATAAAAAAAAAAAATCTAAAAAAAAAAAAAAAACCCTGCACTTAAAAAAAAAAAAACAAAAAAAAAAAACTATTGTCTGTCAGTAAATTTAAGACTGCTCAGTCTTAAAGGAGGGAGGTAGTGGTGATGGGCAAAATGCTTGTCTTGGGGGTCTGGACTCCAAATACTCCAGAATAGGAGTTGGCAAACTGTGGCCCATGGGCCAAATCCAGCCTGCCATCTATTTTTGTAAATAAAGTTTTATTAGAACAGAGCCAAGCTTATTCATTTACATATCATTTATGGCTGCTTTTGCATTATAACAGCAGAGTTGAGTTTGAGTAGTCAAGATAGAGGCTTGCATGGCTTGCAAAACCTAAACATTTATTATCTGGCTTTTTCTAGGAAAAAAAGTTTACTGACTCCCATAGAGTCCATACCAGCTCTGTCCAGTAGAACTTTAAGTTGATGAAAATGTTCTCCATCTGTACCATCCAATGTAGCACTCTAGCCACAGGTGGCTAGTGAGCACTTGATTTCTGGCTAGTGACAACTAGCTGAGGAACTGGATTTCTAGATTTATTTAATGAATTTAAATTTAAATAGCTCCATGTGGCTAGTGGCTACTAGATTAGACAGTGCAAATCTAGCTGGAATGGGAAACAAAACACCAGGCTATTCGGAGTCACTCTTCTGTTGGTAGCCCTGTCTCAAAGACATGGCTTGGGGCACAGCGAGGAAGGGCAAAACGGGTTCAATGCCAGCAATGTGTTAGAAGCTTTCATATGTGTTATTTCATTAAAACCACACAAGAATCCTTTGACATAGGTAATAATATTTCCATTTTGAAGTTGAGGAAGGGAAACCTAAAAGAGGTAAAATGTAAGTGGCTATTTTGAATGTAAATCCATATCTTCCTGATTTAAGTCTTTTACTCCATTAGGTCTGTCTTCTCTATCTCAGAGTGTCTTTCATGACTGTGGTTCTGCTTTATATTCTGCCTCTTATTCCTGGAAGATCATGTTTTTCGATACACATCTCAAGACATGGGCCTTTTTTTTTTTTTTACATGAAAAAGATATAGGTGTTTTAGGGGCTAGTTGAAGTGAGGGAAGGATGTTTTCAGTTTCTTAGGCTAAGTTTACTTCAAAATTATTTAAATTTTATTTCTGTATGTGTATCCAGTGGCTTCTGATAGAATACCGTCTTATTTTTGTATTAGGAAATGCACTCACTATGCCCCAACTGGGTGATAATACATGGGTTGACTATTGAGATTGGATCAAGGTTACTCTTAAGTTTCTCACGAGAGGCAATAGTTGACAATTTACTCCCTTGGAGAGTGCCTCTTGCTGTTGGGAAATCCCTGTTGTTACATTTTTTGCATTGGCTCAGAAATCCACAAGCTTAAAAGGGCACTGTTGATAATGATAAGCCCCAAATTTGTCCAATGATCTCCCCCACTCCCCTAATCCATTGTGTTTTAAGGGCAATATTTTCGTTTAGCTGGATTTTTTAAATAGGAAGTTTAAACTCAATTTTCATTTTTCTGTTGTATAAAGTATAGCAACAATAAATCTTTAAATAAACATAAAAAAAACTTCTGCTTTCCCCACTAAAAAACAAAGAATTTCAGACAAATCTAGAAATAATCATATGTGATTTAAATTCCTTATTTCTACTTTCCCCCTTTTTTTGTCCCTTTGCTCCTTCCTACAAATAATGATTAGTACAAAAACTGTGAAAAGTAAGCCTTTAACATAATTTGAGGTTGGCCAGGCAAGGTGGCTCATGCCTGTAAGTCTAGCACTCTGGGAGGCCAAGGTGAGAGGATTGCCTGAGCTCAGGAGTTCAAGACCAGCCTGGGCAAGAGCAAGACCAGACCCCCTTCTACTAAAAATAGAAAAATTATCTGGGCACAGTGGTATGCACTTGTAGTCCTAATTACTTGGAAGACTGAGGCAAGAGGATCGTTTGAGCACAGGAATTTTAGGTTGCAGTGAGCTATCATGATGCCACTGCACTGTAGCCTGGGTGACAGAGCAAGACTCTGTCTCAAAAAAAAAAAAAAAAAAAAGTAATTTGAGGTTAATGAGAAATAATAATTCCACAGTTGCTCCCTGGAAATTTTATTCTAGAAGATCCAAAATCACCTGCAGATATTATTTCCTAAAATAAAAATGATTGTTAAAATATTGGTCATAATTATTAGCACTGGTGGATGGAACTGTGGCCATCTTTCTTTGAGTTTGCTAGCATTTCTCATATATTTTGTGGTTTTCAAGTCTCTTAATTATTAAAGACATAGGAGGAGTGAAGTGAAAATGAGAGTTTGCTGAGATTTTGGAATACCTTTGTAACTTATTACACTAGTATTTTTGGTGATAAGATAGAGTGGACAAAATAATATATTAATAGTAACCTGAGGATCCTATAAGTTGTTTGCTTTTAAAGTCTTTGTAGGATAAATTAGATTAAAGTTCAAGTGTAAATTAATGAGAAGGAAACCTGGTAGCATACCATTGCAAAAGATTGTAAAATTTTGCATTTGGATATGGATTAATACGTAATCTGGGGAGGCCTTGAAGTCCCTTCTTCCTTTTTAAGTCTATTTTGTGTTTGCTCAGTTTTGTTGGAATCATGCAGGTTTGGCTCTGGTGACCTAATAATTTCTGTAATCAAATGTATTATGGCAGCTAGCATACTCAGAGTAATTACTAATTGTACTTTTAAAAATAGGTTTTTAATAAAAATGCTAACAGTTGTGTCAGATGGGTATCAATATTGTCTTTTCACAGGTGTGACCTTTCACACTTAAACTCTTCCATGATTTTGAATTGCACAATATATGGGTAGAGGAATTAGTTAATGGTTAAGGAATTGTATAAAGGAGCTAACAGTGTGCAAGTTATTTAAATATAATGAAGTCAGTGTTCCAGAGAAGTAATGTGGAAACTTCATTTATAGACACTCAAAAGTGAATCTATACAAATACCATTTGCATTTGTGTTTGTTCTCAATGTATGTGTAGAAAGGCATAAAAAAAGAAATTGGGCAAGCCTACAGAAGTGAGTGGACATAATATTTTTAAACCATGAAGAAAAACTATCAGTTGTCAAGTGCCTGATGTGGTAATTGAAGTGATTGTTCACTAGATGGCGATAGACACCCTGAGATCATTAATCAATTAAGGATTTTATTCTGTGAAGGCCATTTAATGACTCAAATCTGTCCACATTTTAGACTTTTATTGATTTTGGAACTATTAAAGAAAGGCTAAAATTGTCCCAAAGGGTTATGATAGTCTAATCTATTTAGCGTTTAAAATAATGATGATTTTTGAATCATAAGTTTTATTGGTAAGAATAATCATTTAATTTATCATAGCAAGTTAATTCTTCTATCAAGTAGCTAATTTCATATTTCTGGCCATGGAGCCAGACTGGGATACTTAGTCCCAGTATCAGAGGCTAATCTAAAGAGAATTGGGAGTGATTTTGATATATAATTTTGCCTCTTTGAATTTGTTTATTTTTATTGAGGCATTTCAAACTTAGTATATACTTACAAGCATACTCGTTGCATAATCCTTGTATAATGTTAATATTTGTCTTTA